CCGGAAGTAGCAGCCAATCGCGCATAGCTTCTTCCCTGGTATTCTTCAATCTCGACGGATATATCGGAGGCATTACCGGCTCTGACTGAGGGAGATTCTGGGGAGGCATCTCAAAACACTCGGAGACGTTATAGACACCACTGAGAACCTATGCGGTGGCCGTAGTAGGTGGAATAATGGGATGGAACGATTACGAGGTTGACATATTGGTGGAGCTACTCCAGAAAAAAACAGCTGTATGGAGATGTGATGATTGGTAAGTGGGAATCATGATGAAAATGTAAGTGTTCTATTTTTAGGATTTTATTGCGCTAACTCGTTCGTCTCAAAACTTGTTCACCCAAAAGAACGACAAACAAAAAAGGCGTCAGGAAGAAAGAAATGCTTCGAGGATGATGGGTGGCCAGCCCGGGATTGTATTAGGTTGGATGACTGAATCAAAAACTCCAATCAAGATTGGAATTGACAACGGCCTATCCAATCAAGATTGATTATGTTGTACATTCCAAACGATCGGTTCGATATATTGGAGCTAAACCTAGTGTGGTTTATTCGTACCCAGGGCTCCAAAAATCTGGAGTGGTTAATTGCTAGGAGGGTAGAGCATCCCTTCATTAAAGAAGCCAATTTGTAACTCCAGACCATTGCACACGGGGCACATGGTGTGAGTGTATACATGGATAATTGCTGGTTGGCATTTAAACTGTCATTGAAATTGTTAATGAAACAAACAATTACTATAATTGCAAAACAGGTTAAAACAAACAATTGTTTATGAAACTCGTTGGTGTAATTAATGTTAGGAGACAGGTTCACTTTTGCACAACTAAAAGAAAGGCAATCAGAAGAAGTAGTGAAGGGAAAAACACATTGCATTTACGTGGTTCTAAGCATCCTTGTTCTTCCCTTCGAGAGAGACTTGTCTAACACATTACATGTACTAGCCGCTCCCCTCTTTTATAGCATGGAACTACTGTAATTGTATATGAATATTAAATTAATACTCCTAGTCTAAAATTTTACTCTAGCGGGTGCTGCAGTCATGGCGTCCCCTTGTCAAGGGGGAGCTACCCCTAGGCCCTACCGTCAACTCACTTTATAGTGGGATCCGTGTACTAGCCATAAACCCAATTTTCCTTATTCTCCACTAACCTCCCACAATTGATTGCGTGGAGACATCACTATGTATAAATGAATCATTTGTGTTAAAAATATTCCACACAAATGAGTAAGAAAAGGGTTAAAGGTAAGCATAACATAGATGAGAAACCTAATCAATATCACTTAATAATAAAAATAATTTCTCTTTAGTGTGGTAAAATAGTTGGCATCAACTGGATCATAATGAAAACCAGGGGACTGACTGATCTCTTTCACAATGGTCATACATACTATAACTCGATTTATGAGTAGATAAGTAAGGTCAAGTCCTATAAATATGCATTATAACCCAGCGGACTCCTTTGTAGAAAAATCATAATAACTGCGTTTAAAATATTTCAGCTTCAAGTATCTCCACTAGGTATTACTACTCTCCTCTATTTAGTTCAGATTAAAACCACCTCCATCTGCTTCTTTTTCTTCCATATGTACAACTACTATCTTAACCTCATTGACAATGGTCTGTATTAAAAGACGATTTTAAGCCGACAAACATTATTTATGACGAATTAATATGTGCCATAAAGTGGTGCTATTATTGAAGCATGTAATGGACAACCTATCACAATTTGACGTAATCACCTATCAATGAAAATATGTACACAAGATAATCAAATTACGTAATATTTACTAGATAATTAAAAATCTCATGGCATCTTGATCATCTGTACAATTAGGTCATTAGGATATATGCACTTTCAGAAAAATATGGAGCACAATATAATAAACAAATATAATATTTAATAGAGTGTGAGCAGTTGTGATAAGTAGGTGAAATAGTTAAGTCACTCTAATTATTATTGGCACCCTTTTAGTGTCTGTGCAACATTATTTCATATTTTATTTTAAACAAATTTGGGGTGCTATATGCAACTTCATCTTAGTAATTTAATTTTGATTTCTAAAATAGAAGGGCTCATTGAAGAAACGACATGAAGATTAATGATCAATTGGTAGAAGTAATAGGGGGTACCATTTAACATAATTGTTACTTAAAGCTGAACACTTGTGAACCACTATATTTGGCTTTATTGAGCAAATCCTAATAGTAAAGTGGCAGAAAAACATCTATTGAAGTTGTGTAAATTCACCATTGATAGTGTATAATAATTGAGTAAAAAAAACTCCTGAAGGTTAGTGATTCTTCAACAATCATTTTCAAGGTTTTGAAGGGACTCTTTTCATACTAACAACCTTGAATCCAATAGAAGGTTGTCAAGCAGGCGCCATTAGCCCCATTTCTAAATACCTACATGCTTGTTAACTCATAAAAATATTCAATGAGTAAAGCACAAAATTTCATTGAAAATATAGGAAAATGTATGAATAGATTTTGTGATAAATATCAATTGTGAGATCTATTTTCAAGAGAATGATAAAGTTATGCTCAAATTAACCCATACTCGGCAACAAGGCTTTAAGAAACCGTAGTGAATCATTTGTCCAATAGTTTTTGCCAAACAATTGACATAAACTTTCTCAAACATTTTGGAAGCCAACCATTCAAAAACAAACAAAAATGAGCTTCCCTACTAGGTTAATAGTAATTATAGGCACAAATGGCATATGTTATTTTAGTATGATGTTAGGGAGGTATCAATGTCACTAATTAATCATAATAGCTATCAATAAATAGGAAATGACACAATGTGGTGGAGGAATATCTAATGACACAACATGGGAGTTCAAATAATTGGTGAAGAAATTCTTTTGAAAGACACGAAAGTATTGGATCATTAAGACATTAGATGGTTGAAATATCTTAGTATGAGAGTATTGGACCATTAAGACATGAGAGTTATGAGCCTCCCTATATAATAGAGTAGCTAATGACTTCACTCTAGATGATTGGAATAGCGTGAGTTGACAATGATAGATAATTCAAGTTGCATGATAAATGTTGCATTAGGCACTCACACAGTAAGTGTGTGGCTTTCGGAAGCAATATGGCTGGTGATAAGCCAGCTTGGCTGTCATAGGGCACGCGATGGTCATATTTGACTCTTAAAACATGATAGGTGATAAGCATGCGCAGAAAATGTGGGATGATAACAAACGCACAATAATCATAAATGCTGCAGAATAAGTGCATGTGAACTAGCTTCACATGAGTCATTTGTGCGGGGTAGAATGCATACTGTATATTAAGGGTTTTTTATATTAAATTTAGACACAGCGCTTTACAACCCTTGATGAGGTAAGAGAGAACCCAATCAAATATAAACTTCCTCTCTTCGGGCTCAAGTTACTTGCTACTTAGCGTGTGCATGTCAAGGTTATCATAAAAGAAATTAATGAGTAAAGGGTTCTGGTCGCATGCTGGAACCTTGACGGTGAATATTAATTATTGTGACGATTAACCTTTTACGTTCTCTCACCTAGAGAAGGATGCCCCTGAAAATTATGTGTGACGCCCGGTTTTAAAAGGATCTGTCCGGAACCCACTTAGGTTTTCTCCGCTCTAGCTGATTGCAGGTCTCGACGTGATTTACCGCCGTCCCCAAGATGAAAGTAACTGTCAGCGTAGGTGATATGATGGTTAAAATCGAAACGTCCAGATCTGATGTGAAGGCCGGTGAGCCGACTGACTCTGGGGGGCAGTTGTGGAACAAGTCAAAATTCGATGCCCTCCAGCTGAACGATCTGTCCTGTAGTCGCTGCCAGCAGCCCAGCCTTTAATGTCTTAGAAGTCCTGAAGGAGAGACTTTCCTCTCCACCTTCTGACCCGAGCCTCGATCTACTGACCTACAACCGCGGCAGGAGCCACCAGCCCTTGGAGTCCCGAGGGGACAAGTATCATCCAGTCAACGCTCCATCCCCGAGCTTAGGTTTTCGTCTTTATTTTACCTGATCCTCTTCGCAATAGCGCCTCACTCTACATGACGGCATTACCCTCTGAGCACAATGGAATCCCGGCCCGGGATATTCCTTCCTTCCCGTCGGCAGCGATGTGGTTCGGTCGTAATCAATTCCGACGATTTCCCGCCACCAAATCCCTCTCTCTCTCAATTTGGGACATCCACGGGAGATTTAACTACTGGTGGTCGGTGCTCCGCCGCCGGGTTGCCCGGAAGAGCCTTTACTCCATGAGCTGGCTCCAACGGCTTCGTCGGCTTCTGAGTTTTCTACTTGACGGCGGCGGCTGCCGGCAATTGACCCCACTCTAGGAATCCAAAGTATTCTGTTGATACCCCAGGGAATCGGTCACCCAGAATCCAGATTTCGTGGTATATGTACTATTCCCTTCCTGATGGAATCGTACGATCCACAATCGATCGGTTGACTTTCCTTGATTCCATTAAAGTCTGATTATTTTCTTATTCTCTTGTTTCGATAATGACGCTCATTGATAGGCGTCGACGTTCGTGTTTGCTCTCAGGATCTCCCAGAGTATATGCTTTTAAGTTACGATAATAATCAGGGTATATGCTTTTAAGTTACGATATTAAATAGCCATAATCTAGATCTCTGATGATAAATATATTGGCGGATGATAACAGTTGACGTAAACACGTGGATAGGCCCATGTCGCCAGAGAGAAGGCCACCCGAGTTAACACGTACAGTTATATGATTCATCTCTTACCACTGACGTTGACTTCAGCTCTCGACATCCACAACAAGAAAGAAACAAGTCTGTAAATGTAGGAATATACTGTTAAATGAAAACCAATGTATGATATTAACATGTGCCCATAAGTCAATCTTATATTTACTTTTCGGACGCAAATAAACGAAGAGAATCTCTCTCTCTCTCTCTCTCTCTCTCTCTCTCTCTCTCTCTCTCTCTGTTCTCTCGCTTTTTCTCTTCTCTCCGTCGTCCATGATAATGGCGTGGCCTCAGCAACTCTGGGCAATATTATGACGGTTGAAGTGAGAAACGGAGGTCGTGTGCGACGAAGAAGAAGTGGCAGGAGAGTTGGAGCGGGTGGCGCCGTCGTCTACTCCCCTCTGGTCCTCTCGGGTGCCTCGGCCACCATTGGGCAGTGGACCACTAGGAGACCTCTGCGGCTGCTTTGCCTGCTGCTGCTGGTGGTTCAGCATCGGTAGTGACGCCACGGGTGCATAGATTGGCGGGCAGACCATCCCTTCCGTCAGCGGAGGCGGATGCGCCGCGGCGGCGGCCGCTGCTGCAGCATATTCAGGTGGGGGCACCCATAAGCCACCGAGGAAGACAACTTGGTGCGGTGGAGCGTTGGCGGCGTTGCTATGAGACATGGCGGGGCTCGGCCGCCGTGAATGTAGTCTGAATTTCTGAAACCGCGGGGGACCGAGAAGATCAACGTCAGCACGAAACCAGGAATAAACGAAAAAGATAATGCTAATTTGTATGAATGAAGCGTGGAATGCTAATTCACTATAACGCCTTCCGTTAGGGTTTCAAAGGTTTCCGTGTTCGAGGGTAAAGAGATTCAGAGGAATCCGTCACTTTCCTCCTCTCTTAAGCGAAGAACTCTACCTGGTTTCTCCCGAGGGGGACCAGAAGTGGAGGTTGGCAAGGTGTAAAAGGAGACCAGAGCCTTGACGGAGGAAAGCGATGGGAACGGATGAGGAGGATAGTCAGATGTTACCGAATCTTAGCTCCGCGAGGAGATCCATAGCGAAAGCAACGTGAATTAAGTGATTGCCAGAAAACAAATGGCAGAAATGTAAGAGACGGGGGGAGAGGCAGAAGAGGCTGTGACCGGTCCTCCCGCCCCCCTCTTCGCCGCCTCGGAAGAACCATTGGCCGTGGGGAGATGGAGGACGGGGAAATATCTGCTATAGTGGTGGGTGGAAATACAAAGGTTTTCTCTCATGGGTCTGCCTAAATGACGTTAATGTTGGAATATACCTGAAGATGGCTCTTGACCTCGTCGTTAGTCAGGCCCTCCACCTTCATCAGGTCTCGGATCTGTTTCGGCGTTGCAACTGCGAAATAACAAAGATCCAATATTTTCAACAGGATCGGCTTTCCGTCACAAAGAATCAGGAACCCTTCGGTGGAAAGATTCAATTTCACGAAATTGCATAGCGTACCGTGGGAACCGCCTAGCTGCTGCAAGGCATCGAGGAAACGCCGGTGAAGATCCGGCGACCAGCACCGCCGAGCTTTGCGATTGGGATGCGCGTCCTTGTCCTCGCCACCGCTCCCGCTGCTCTTCCCCCGGCCGTCGGAAGTGCAGCTCACAGCCGGTGCCGGCTTAACCAGGCCTGGCGCCGTCGCCACCTCGCCGGTCCCTGTTGCCAGTGGTGGGGATCGCTTCTGAGGGAGGAAAGGGTGGAATGCGCTGGTGACCTTGTTCCGATCAGCAACAATGGATTGCCTAGAAGTCTCCTGTTACATTAATCGGGGTGTAAGAAACCCCAAAATGGGAGAAATAGCTCAAAAATTATGTCAAACACCTGAGAGAGAGAGAGAGAGAGAGAGAGAGAGAGAGAGAAATCTTACATCATCTTCATCGTGGTGAGGATCTGGGAGGGGGCTCCATAGTTGGACAGATCTAAGCCAGTCGGGCTTCTTTTCAGAAAAATCCTGGTTCTTCCGTTTGGAGGAGCTGAAGCTGTCCTCTTCATGGTGGGTGGCATTGCTAATCTGCTCTGGGCGGTGGACGTCCTCCTCCCCTTGGTCGGGTCCCGGTGAGGACCTCCGCTTGATGGGAATGAATTCTTCCAGAATGGGTCCACCCTCGCACGATGTCTCCTCCTCGTCGGCCTCCGAGCGGCAGCCGCCCCCCGCCATCCGCTGCCGGCAGCTATCAATGGCTGCAAGAGATGCAGCCAGATTGAAATGCTTAAAATTTCTCCCCATTCTTCAGAAATAATGGCGATTGAAGCCTGTAGGGGAAGAGATCCTCACTCTGGGTGACGAGGCGGAGAGAGAGCGGAAGCTCCCGCTGGAAGACCTGGATCTTCCGCCTCTCCTCCTCGAGGGCCTCGACGTAGTCTCTGTAGCCCCAGGCCCGCTCCTCCACGGTGGTTGTCTCCACGACGACATCCTCGACGACCATGTTACTGACCATCCTCCCCGAAGGGCTCCAGATTCTTAGCCTAGAAAGGGAATCTAACCCGACGTTCAACGCCGAGAGTTCTTCCAGCAGCGCGAAAGACGAGAAAGAAAATAGCGGACGATCAGGAAAGCTGCCACCGGAGACTCAGGTCGCCTAAGGAAATCGCAGAACGCATGGAGACTTTGCCGTGCAAGGAGAAGGGGAGGGAATCGCAACGGATCAAAGACCGGGGAAGAAAGATCTAAACGATGTCCGAACAATTTCAGGAACGACCCAAGAGGGCGAATAAGGGTGGTCAGAAGGATTAAAGCCCCGCCGGCGGCGGCGCGATGGTTGTAGAAATCGCCAACACAAGGGGAGAGAGAGAGAGAGAGAGAGAGGTGCGGCGTCCCGTAAGTGTAGAGAAAGAGACAGGGAGGGGAGAGAGAGAGAGGAGACAAGCGAATCTCGGATGAGAGCTCTGAATATTCCGCCAGGCCGGGTCTCCCCATCCCCATCCGAGCTGGCCCTTATGCGAGGCTGGGCACTGGGGATAAGATCGAAGACGACCGGGCCCCAACGGACGCTCGGCCCACGAGTCCCCGGGGCCCTCTCATCCTTCATTGGACAGCGTCCCAGCGAATCCACGCCGCCGACTGCCGTTGTCAAAAGCTGACCCCCTCCTCCCCTCTGGAATCTTCCTTCTTCATATTCCGGCTCTCGGGCTGCCCCACACAACGGTTCATCGCCGAATATTCGAAATCAATAATTTCTTCTTTATAAGGATTAATTTTTTCTCTCACGCTCGCCATATATTTGATTCTTTCACCCACGCCACACCGTCGTCTGTACTTGAGTTTTGTCGGAGAGGGTCCGCAGAGCCCGATCGTACGTCCAATCCTGCGAGGATTTGGGTTGACCGGCCTGTCGAAAAATGTTATTTTTATTATGGTTTAATATTTGGATATTTATATTTATTTGAAAATCAAATGGAATGAATCCTGGGCGGCATGGATAACCGGATCTGGAGGTCTGACTCGTCGGCGTGGCCGTGGCCGACTGACTGCTCAGAGGGGACCGGTGAGGGGGATGTCTCAGCGACGTCCACGAAGGTGAAACACGTGTCTTGAGCCCATCTGGCCGTCTCAACGATCGCCACCTATCATTCAGACAGCTGGCGCTACCACATACTACATTGATCGAAGTGGGCCGGTGTGGGCCTTATGATTCGCATCAGGCCCACGTTCTATGACGTGGCCTCCTAAATGGTGCAGTCCAAATGGACGCGTGTTCCCTCGTTGTTAATTTAGCTCGAGTGTTCCACGCTGGCACCCAATCGGAAACCGGTCCCCCACCTCACCTAGCTTCTTCTTGCCGCGCTTATCCATCCTTGGTGTCGGCGCGCCGCCGTGCTGTTCGCTAAATGGCGCCGCCCCCCCTTCCCCCGCACTGGAGTAGAGTGGCGGCTTTTGACACCCCTCGTTCTTGTGCCTTTCTTGTTGAACGTTTAAAGAGAAGCTATAATGCGGCTATTGTGAACACAACTCGAAGACGAAAGAGTAAATCCTACATCCCAACAGGTTCATGCTTGAACATAATGGAAACGACGGGTTGAGCAATGCTCCGAGGATGTAGGCACGCCGTTGAATCTTGTACATCTCAACGTTGTAGTTCATTGCACTCTGCTTTCTTTCACCGAATCGTCCTTTCCATTTTCAAGTCTAGAAATTATGCGTGTGAGAGGATAACTACAACTTTTCTTCGTTGTGCTCATTGTGTAAGCAATAATTGATTTGCCTTTGCATCAATGTAATAATTGTAGAACTTGAAGGTTGACACACGTGATTGAGCATAAGTTACCAAAAAGAAAGTCAAAAACTGGTGTAGTTGACCATATTAAACATTTAGTGAGAATGATAAATATGTTTTAAGAAGTCAAGCTTAACAACATTGGAAAGTAATCGATTGGATCCTCACTTATTTGTGTACTTTGTATAATTTTGTGTTTTAAGCATATTAACATTGATGTAAAATATTATGCGGTTTTGATTCATGCATGTGGCAAATAGATTGAAAGTTAATTGGATATGACCTTAGTGTAGAATGAGCAAAAATCAATTGTATCTCTATGATGCAGAAGTTATTTCCTTTTCCCACAATTATAATAGAAGTCATTCTATGATGAAATCACAACGCTTGAAAGGATGATTGAAGAATTAGTATTTTAGGAACTAAATTATGTGTTCTAAATTAATGGAAAGACATGAGTTATTTATGTAGTAAATTTATTATTTTATTTTTGAAATTATTTAGTTTAGGTACCATTGAATCAGTTTTGGAAGGTAGAGAATGAACGTCATAAAAAAAAGGCATGAAGAACCTAATATGCTGTCAAAGGTTGTTGACAACAAAAGTTGTACCTTTTTTTACTTTTACTCTATGTTGGTTCATTTGGTTCGAAGTCTGCAATTACCTTGGCCCAAATTTGGGCATTGGCATTAAAGGGCTGAGGATGGTCCTTGAGGCACTCATTTTGATGTAAGTCTTAATTAATGTTTATTGATTATAAAGTCTTTCTATAAATGATATCTATCAGCTCTCAAGCGAGAGATTATTATGCTCATTGACATTGGAAAGGTGGGGTGAGGGGTTTGTTGGCCAACTCATCGAAGAGCAATAGTATTGCTAGATGAGCAAGCAATGTCCTGAGGCCAATGCACCGATTAAGCTTTTCAAAGTTGTTTTTGAGATGTAATCTCGTCTCTAATCCTAATGAATCTTTGCATTTGGTTTGTCAACGGTATATTTGTTTTTTCTTGACAATATTTTCATTTTCATTATTATATTGCTATTTATTTATACTATTACAAGTCCTCCCTTTAGAATATTGATATGCACGAAACATTATTCTATTGTATGAATTACGTAAGGAAGGTGATGACATTGTACGAATGGCCATCACATTTGAGGTTCCACAGTTAATCTATATCTGGATCGTTACATTTTTTTCAGTATAGTTCAACAAAAATTTGTCACAAAATTATTAGTAGAAAAGCTTTATCTTACAATTGCATATTGAATTCATATTGACCAACCCGAGATGCTAACAATGTTTTTGAAATAAAGATAGAGCATTTACTCTAGGATGTTACAGAAATTGAAGTCTCTAAAATCCATATAACATCCGCCTATGATGGCACCTGAAGTCGGGGTGGGGCCATCTGATATCCATCGTCTTCTTCTGAATGGTTGTGTAGGGATATGACAAGATGTAACTGGCAATGGAAGGAGGAATCGAAAGCCCATTCGTTAGTGGGAAATAATATTGAACGGATATTATGACGATAAATTACCTGTCGCTCATCTAACATGATGGATGCGCCAAAGATTTGTTATTTATATAGAAACTGAGAATATACAGATTATACTGAACCACGCACCGTCAGACACAGAATTGAGACCGTGCGAAGTCAATCTTGATTAGCAGGAATTTAGGATTCTCTCTCTCTCTCTCTCTCTCTCTCTCGCTCACTGTATACAGATATATAATATATATACGGTAAGCGGCAAACAAGAAAGATGTGATAGATCACCCTCCAGTCATGGAACCATCTTTTAGGCCATTCCGTTTCGTAAGTTACATCCCTCAGATTACTAGTCTACTCGGAGTATCTTAAGATTTTCCTCACTTGGAGACTGGCGGGAAAAATACATACAAGGGATGCAGTGCCGATTTACTTCCGTTAATTTGACGTTTGATGATCTACTCCGGAGAAAACTGAGAACGTCTAATTCATGCCCCTCGATAAATAGTAATAGACTACATAAGGACATGCGTCACAAGCCTGAACTGGCAGTCTCCAGTCGGCGAGGGCTTATTCTCTCAGAATCTTCTACATATAGCCCCCTTTCTCTTTTCGTCTCTGTCCCTGTCTGTATGTCTTTCTCTCTCTCTCTATGCACGGTCACCGACATGAATACGGAGCAAAGTTCTGATATTCTTCCGTCCTAAGTACCGTTCTCACTTGTTCCGCGAGGGGGAGAAGAACACCCAATGGAGACACGGAGGTCCGCCAAATTATGATCTCGTTAATGAGCATTTCGAAGAGGGAAGAACGCAGGCAAGTTCCTCAGTATTACCTCTGTTGACCTCTGCTTGTTTTGCTCTAGTTTGTTCTTTCCCAGTCCAGCAGTTAGTAGCAATACTCCGTAGAACGATTGTGCGTGCGCATTTGACTGATGGCTCCCCGATGAACTTTGCCTAATATGAAGAAAGTGGGAGTCTGTCTCCAGGAATGGCTAAAAGGATCGCTGAAGGAGACAGTACAAAACGCCATAAAGACATGGGAGATGGAGCTGTCCCAAAGACCGCCCTGTAGGATTTTAAGTCCATAAATCCCGCGAAGTTCAAGTTCTTCGTGAACGGTATAAAACAACCCCTCCCGTATAGTAAGTAGAGTTTGAAGAATAGCGTTTAAAAATAATGCTTAGCCACAGCTGAACGAATCGCAGATGTTGAAAGGCGAACGGTGCCGTGGAAATCACGGCTTAAAGTCGTGAATCAGTTTAAAAGAAGTAAAGGATAGATTCGAAATAAAAACACAATCAAAACTCTTCCTCGAGGAACAGGTGGCAGCAAGAGCGCATCTGACGGGAAGATGATTATATTTTGGGGGACGAAGAGGGTTGTCGGGCGAGGAATCTCCGCCTGGGAAGCTACAACGCTCTGCTGCAGACATCGTTGCCGGATGAGTATTACAGACCCAAAGAGGAGACGTTCAAGTCCTCTCACAACGTCTTTCGCACAGGCTTCCCAAGGGGCTTCTCATGGGAGGTGTTGAAGGTCTACTCCGGCCTTCCAATGATAGCCTTCAAGTACAGGCACTGGGGTATAATGAAAGGCCCCAAAGAAAACCATGCCCCCACGGGAGAGGTGGTCGAGTTCTCTGGGGTGGCTGTTCTGAAGGCTATTTAATCTCTCTCCGTCTTCCTATTCTAATCTACCTTATGCTTCTCTCAAAGTAACATGGTTTCGTTGAAATTGGCAGGTGGACGAGATCTTGCGAATGGAGGACGTCGAGATCTACTACGACCCTGGGGCCTCCCGCCGCTGGAACTGGTGACAGAGGAGGCTGATGGGAGCATCATGCCGTATAATAAATTTAAGTCTTTTTTTTTTAAATGCAAAAAAGATTAAGTTATGGATTGTCTAGCTGAGACTTATTCAACGCAACGCGTGTATGCTTTTTTATCCGTCCTCGCAAGAAGGTGTTGACTATAGCAGCTCATATTATCTTGTGAGCCTTTCATTAAGGATGAACAGTTTCACATTAAACCTCAACTCCCCAGCCCAGGATGGTGGAGATCCACTCACTCATCCGGCACATAAACTGTTGTCCCATTGAACATTGTGTGTAGGGTCTTCACGATGTCACATTATTATGAAGGGATTGGTGTGGATAAGTTCAAAGATCCATAGAAAGAAATCCATTGGTGAGGGGAAAATAACTTGGACCCCAAACAAGTCTTCGTAAAGGACCAACTGTAGGGCGATTATATCTGGTGGTGCAAGTCTTGTTGGTAAATACCAAACACCCTAAACAACTATCATGATGGTCCAAAACCATCATTATCTACCTAGTTTGATCTGTTGAGTTATGGATCAATTTATTATGTTGTCAATGATCTTTAGACATTAATAATAAATCATATAATTGATAATATGTGATGTAAATTTAATTAGCCATTGATGTATTTGACTGAGAGAATGTAAAGACAATAAAAAATGTGTGTAAGGTGAATATGTTATAATCTTATGTGTAAGCCTTAATATTTAAATTTATATATCAAATAGTTTCACTAATTATAAATTTATAATCAAATTAAAGGTATTTTAATGAGGAGTCAAACGAAATATATTTGGGAGAAAATGATCAAGGCATTAATTTGTTATTGATTTTATAAGATTACTAATTTAAGATTACTAATTTGTTACTAATTTACTACTCTAAAAGCCTGACCCTTTCCACTAAAATAATTTTTCTCATTAAAATGTGTCACAGATATAAGCATGTGACCAGCGAATGGAAAGGTAATCAAAAGAGAAATCTAGAGTTGAAAAATTTTATAAAACACAAAGTATTGAAAGAGTTAGGATTTTTTCATTATTTAGCATTATTTTTCTATAATTTTTAGGATCCACATATGGCCTATTAAGGCCCACTTTAACTTGATTGTTTAACCTGATAAGGGACAAAAGGTGGCAGTCTTGTCTACCCATGAATGAGATATTTTGCCCAAATTAAGGTAAGAAAGAAAGACATGAATTTCAAATGACAATTGGTACTTCAACAACAATTTATCTTCTCTGTCAACTCTTCTCAACTCTCTAGGTATCAAGGGCAAGGTTTCATTTCTTCAAAGTAGTTGTGAATGTCACTTCAAGTCTCAATAGTTCTCTTCTTCAACCCAACACCTCCCAACACCTTCAACAACTCAAGGCACCGAAATGTAGTTTAAAGGCTATGATATATTCATTGTTTTTACTTTAATCTATGTTGTACTAAGATGTTTATTTTACACATGGTATGTTTGAGTGGAAGACTTATACATGTGTGTGTGATGTTTTGGTAAGTGCATGTGGTGTGTGTGGTCAATTGATGAGCACTTGTGGTGTGCTTGATCAGTTAGTCTAACTTCTATGGTAAGCTCGTCTTTCTTAGTATGTGTTGTGTGCTAAATGATAATAGATGAAATTTGCATGTTAAGTATGTAAACATTTAGACAATTAGAGCTGAATTTCATACACAATGACATTTAGTTATGCATAAAATAAGTGAAACATAATTTATGATCAATGTTCTAAACACATGCTTAATTTTGTGAATTTTCCATATTGTTAATAGTATGTTTTTTATTTATTTATATGTTTCAGTTAAATATTAATTATAAAATAAATTTCATTTGATGTTTAAATTATGATTAAATTTTAAAAATGAATTACTATGTTCAAGGTATTTTTTGTGATTTTTCTGGATTGTTTTGAATTTTCTATGTTGTATTGCAGGTTTAAATACAATTTAAAGGTTTTTTCCTAAATCTTTTTTTATTTTTCCGAAAATTTCTACAATGGTTGAATTTCAACAGTTGCATTCACTCTCTCTCTCTCTCTCTCTCTCTCTCTCTCACACACACACACACACACACATAATCAGCCCACTAACTACAATTTAAATACTGGATTGTTTTGAATTTTCTATGTTGTATTGCAGGTTTAAATACAATTTAAAGGTTTTTTCCTAAATATTTTTCTATTTTTCCGAAAATTTCTACAATGATTAAATCTCAACAGTTGCATTCACTCTCTCTCTCTCTCTCTCTCTCTCTCACACACACACACACACACACACACAATCAACCCACTAACTACTTTATTTTCTCTCTCCCACCTCTTGGTCTTCCAAGGGGTGGGTGGGAGATCCTATAGTTGTGCATGCATCAAGAAGATCTAAGGATTGAGATTGAAGCTTAGAGGAGATGTATAAAAGCTTAGAGAAGGAGAGAGAAAAGGCATTTCATGCATTGGAGTGGGGTGCCAAAGAAGGAGAAGAGGAGATCTCTAAGAACTTCACCAATGAGCCAATCCAAGAACTCTAAGAAGGGATCCATTTGAGCACTCTAAACAACATATAGAAGGCATCTTTCATGTATTTGGTTCGTTCATGATATATTATATTTTATTTTGATGAATAAAGTTTTATTTTATGATATCTCTACTTTTGTGAAATCTTGGAGTGAGATCGAGCAATTCAAAAGATGAATAGTAAGATCACCTTCTCATATTGATCCCTATGAAGATAATAAGTTGACCTAGGAGGAGAGATCATCCTTTCCACGTTCTTCGTATATAGGGTTTATTTTCTTATTGATCTTGTGTAGTTATATGGTCTTTGTCTTATCTCTTAATCATCTTTTGATCCCTTAAATCCTAAAAGTTGAACAAGAGATTTAGAGAAGAGAGGGGTGAGATGAAAGAGAGTAGGAGTAGAGTAGTAATATTAATCTTATCCATATTCAATCCACCATAACACTTTACAATCGTCTATTTTCTACCTTATTTTCCCTCTTTTGGTAATTGAAAGCACATCAAGAGAGATTCTTCACTTTCCCTCTTAGTTTGCCTGAGTCAACTCTCTTCCTATCTTCTCACTTAATTCTTCCCTAAAGTCAACTAATAGAACTAATCATTAGAATCATCCTAGGTTAGATAATTCTCTATACTTCTTAGCTATATCTTGCTAAAAATTCAGTCTTATGAAATGAATTTTTGATCATCATAATTAGCAACATTTAGGGTAGTCATTAAACATCAGAGTAAGGCATGTGTTGCTCTCATGTCAAGATAAAGGTTGCTAGAAGTGATGCTTCCAGTATAGATACATCGACTTAAGGAGTCTATGGTGTTAGGGTGAGCATAGCCCATTAGTCAATTGTATTATGGTGGTAGAATAATAAAATCAAGGTGAAGTCCTCAAAAGTGGATTTGGGCTAACGAAGTTTGACCAAATCCCTTTAAAATCTAATGGGCACGATTTTTATTTGAATTTATTTGATATTTATATATTTATATAAAATCTAATAAGCTCTTATACTCTGTGGAGTTTATGGGAGATGAAGATCCTATGTTGTTGAACTTTTTTCTTACTTCAAGAGGGTTTGAATAGGGTTCTTTTCTTCCATACCATTGTACTCTAAGATCTTTGCAGCATAGGCCTTTTGACTAGGCCTTATTTTTCCAAGCTTCTAATATACTTCTATATCAAGATATGAGTTGAGTAAGCCTAGATCACTCATCTCAAATTTCTTCATCATCTCCCCCTTAAATTGTTTAATGTGATGGTCCTTTGACCCTGTCACAATTAAGTCATCAACATAAACACCTACAAGTAGGATATAGTTAGTGAAATATTTCACATAGACTACATGGTATTGTAAGCTTCTTTTGAAGCCAGGTGACATAATATTCTTGTCCAACTTGACATTCTAAGTCCTTGGTGCTTCCCTTAGCCCATACAAGGCTTTCTTCAATCTCAAGACTAAATGGTCCTTTCCCTTTTGAATGAAGCCATCTGATTATCTCACGTAGACTTCTTCTTCTAGTTCTCCATTCAATAAGACAGACTTTACATCCAGATGATGCAATCTCCAGCTTGTTTGTGATACTAGGGTCATCAACTTGAATGGTCTCCATCCTTGCAATAGGGACAAAAACTTCATTAGAATCAACCCCTAGTTTTTGGACATACCCTTTGTCTACTAGACATACTTTGTGCCTTAGAGTATCTTCATTGAGAATTCTCTTCACCATGTAAACCCACTTAAGGCCTATAGGTTGGCATCCAATTGGTGGGTCTACTAGTTCTCAACTATGGTTCTTCACAATAACCTCCATCTGGATCAAGATGAATCATATCTGATCCTTCATAAACTTAGTTCAACTTGATTCTTACTAGTGAGATATTCGTTGGTAATGGAAGTGATTCTCCTCGTTGTTTTTCAGTTGCAGTTTCATTAGTTTTTGGTTCTTGAACATTCACTTTGGACTGAATATTCTTCTCCTGGTTGTCATCATTATCATGTTGTCAACTCAGAAAAACCAAGGGTTTTAAACATACATCAATCCTTCTCATTTTCTGAACTTTCCCACTTCCAATGATCTTCTTCTTCAAAGATCACGTCCCTACTCACTTGGACTTTTTCTCTACTAGGTCAAAGCATCTGTAAGCCTTTGAATCAGCTTCATACCCTATAAAAATCAGAGGTTTTCCTCTATCATCTATCTTCTTTAGGTCACCACCAGCTGACTTGACATGAATAATAGAGCCAAATACCTTGAGATAACTCACATTAGGCTTATTTCCCATCCACACTTCATATGGAGTCTTCCCATCAAGACTCTTTATGAGAGATCAATTTCAAGGTATAGACATACGTGTTGACTACTTCTCTCCAAAACTTCAATGACATATTTTTGCTCTTGAGCATGCTTCTGACTAAAGACATGATGATTTGATTCTTTCTTTCTACCGCAACGTTTTGCTACAGTGTATAAGGGGAAGTAAACTGCCATTTAATGATATGTAGATTGCAAAACTCCGTGAATTCTTTTGACAAGAATTCTCCTCCTCAATCTGTCTTGAGATAGCTTACATGCATATTCTTCTCTGTTTCAACCATGGCTTTAAACTTGGCAAAGCCACGAAATGTATATGCCTTCTACTTAAGTATCGATACCCAAGTTAGCCAAGAAAAATCATCAATTAGTAACATATAGTACCTACCTCCACTTGTTGTCTCTAGTGAGATAGGACCACATATGTCCTCATGAACTAGCTCCAATGGGCGGCATGATCTGAATGCAGAAGTTGAGGGAAAAGACTATCTATGTTGCTTTCCAGCAACACAGTCTCGACAGAGACCATCTAGTATCTTTAGCGTAGGGAGACCGTCAACCATTTGATGGCTTGACAGTTGACCTAGTGACTGAAAGTTTACGTGGCAAAACCTTCGATGCCATCTCCAAGCTTCCTTTTGGTCTTCCTCAACAGATAGACACATCTTGATTGCACTTAACTTCAATAGATATAGCCTTCTTCTTGTCTTCTTGACATTAGCCAACAGTCTCCCTTCGCGATCATAGATGGTGAGTCCTCCGTGCTCCATCATGATTTTACACCCTTTTTCGTCAAGCTGGCCAAGAGAGAGTATGTTAGTCCATAACTTAGGGATAAAGAGGACATTAGCCAAGGTTGCAAGTTCATTCATTTGCGTTTAGAGTTGTATGCTCCCTTTCCCATAAATGTTGACTTTAGAGCCATCACCAAATCTAACTATCCCACCAGAGAATTATTCAAGATTGTGGAATAGAGATTTATTCCCAATCATATGGTTGGTGGCTCCAGTGTCAAGAAACTAGAGATCAGCTTATGTTGATTCTTCACCAACACCTTGGAGTAAGATTTCTTCTTCTCCTTCAGGGAGCGCCATCAGTAACATTGTTGTCTCCTTCTCTTCTGTCTCGGCCACGTTGAGTTTCTGCTCTTTCTTCTCACTACAGTTCTTCGAAGTAAAATGCCCAAGCTTCTGGTAGTTAAAGCATTTTATTCTGGACTTATCTCAGGTCTTTTGGTCACCATCTTAGCTATCATCACCATTGCTTCTACTGCGTCCTCTTCTTCATCCTCTGTCGTGTCCTCTTCCACATCCTCTTGAGTTTCCACCCATACCTTTATTCTTCTTTATCGCACACGTCAATAAGGCTTCCTCTTCCTCTTCTTCATTTTGACGCTCTTAAAGCTTCTCCTCGTGAACTTTTAATGACCTGAATGCTTCATCTAGGGTCATTGTTCCAAAATCGTCAAGTCAAACTGCTCTAACGTTCTTATGATTGGGTCAAACTTTGTTGGTGTAGATCGGAGTAACTTTCCAACTACTACAGCTTCGGTAATATCTTCTCCAAGGCTTCTCAATTGAGTGACGACTCTAGAGAGTTTACCATCAAAGTCTATCACGAGCTCCTCCTTGCCCATCTTGAGAGACTCAAATTCTCTCTTCAGAGCTTGAACAGGGGCCTTCTACACGCGTTTGATGGCGACATTCTTATTCCTGAGAGTCTCCTAGATCTCTTTCGCATGCCTCTTGATGTTGAGTTGCACTTGGATCTCCTCAAAAATTGCTTTGAGAAGGATTGGCGATTCATCTTCCTTGCCATGCTCTCCGCCTCAATCGCCTCCCATAGCCGATATGCCTCCAACATGACCTCCATCCGAGTAACCCATAGAGGATAGTTAGTTTTGGAGAGCACAGGGAATGACACCGGCAGTGCCACATCACCCACCTTGGGTTCTCTGGTGCCTATGCTAGGAACAACTCCTTCCGTAGAGAAGTTCACTGATTTGGGACAATGCATCTCCTCGTCTCGACGTGATTCTCCTTGGATCAGAACGAGAACTCTGATACCAACTAAAGAAGAGAACCCTCATGAACAGGAAGAAGATAAAAAGAGATTTCAAGCAAACATCGTCTTATTCTTCTACTGTAGAAAACGTCGAACATATAAAAGAATTTGTCTATTGCTTGGTCAGCAATGACCATGCCAAATAAGTAGCACGAGGGACCCAACTGTCTCAACAATAATTCAAAGAATAGGGCATAGAAAAAAATGAAAAAAAAATGAAAATAGTGAAGATTCCATCCTCCTGATCTATCGCCGCAGATGACGTCCTGCCATCAGCATTGAGCTTATTCCATCAATATAAACATATCACTTACGGGAAATAGTTGTTTAGTTCAATATTACATTAGTTTAATATAAAAATATTTCTCATTTTTTGTCTTTATTAAGCCTTTCTTTTGTTATTTAGTGGGCCAAAGTTGTCGTGTCTTTAGTGGGCCATAAGTGGCCAGTCCATTTAATGTACGTGACTATAAATACTCCTCTCTATCTTTATTTTAATAGATGAAATGTTTCGTCCTTTTCTAGGGTTCGTGAGTGCATGAACCGTCTCCTTTCTCCTCTCTTACTCTCTCTCCCATCTATTTTCTCTCCCAAACGATTGCTTCTCTTGCAGGTTTATTCTGCTATTTTTCCTATAGTTTCAATGACACGGGCCTTTGGCAATTTTGTGAGGGACGTTTCGTACCTACAGCCTCCTTGAACGCTAGTTGGTTGTCAAACGAGATGGTCGAATGATCAGCCAATGTTCATACGTATGGAGCAGGCAAGCCCATCGAGAAGTGCTGCGATCGCCCCAAGGGGTCATATCAAGGCCTCAGAAAATCGACCAATTATGGATTTTGGACGTCTGGCGTAAAATAAACACATGATCAAATAACAATATTTTTCCGACACCATGACTCAAGTCCTTCTAGGATCCACTTATTTTTACGACGGCTACAACACACAAACATAACTGGATTATGAAGCAAGACATCGACTTAATAATTGTACTCACCTGCCCCTTATGCTAAATACACTCTTCTCCAAGTCGGTGGATGTAGATGTGTTACTTTCGTAGGCAATGGTTTGCTGCCCAAGTAAAGGCTCCTCTTCATTGACGTTCTCCGCAAGGCCGACGGCAAGCACTTGGCTTCTGATCCCTTCGAGTTCTGTCATCACTTCCCTCATTGTTGGCCTATCTTCTCCTTTCATACTCAAGCATCGGCAGGTAAGCTTTGCTACGTCGTAGAGATATAGTGCATGAGCTTCATTCACGAGCTGCTCATCTAAAAACCTCATTAACTGGCCATTTTTCTCTGAGGCAACAATATCCAAAGCTAGGGTGCACTGCTTTTGTGACTCGTCACCATATAATGCCGTCTTTCTCGTAATGAGCTCAGCAAGAACAACCCCAAAACTGTACACATCACTTTTTTCAGTCAATTGATATGTCTGTAACGATTCAGGATCTAGATAACCATATGTCCCTTGGACCACTGTGGCGAACTTGGCTTTATCCATGGGCGCTAGCTTGGATGCACCAAAGTCAGATATTTTGGCCTCCAATTTACCATCCAGAAGGATATTGGCAGATTTAACGTCCCCGTGGACAATCGACGGAGAGGCATCGGCATGAAGATAGTTCAGTGCAGATGCAGATTGAATGGAAACCGTTAATCGTTCAACGAAGGGCATGTAGTGCTTCTCCGGTCCGTGTAGGCGGTAAAAAAGGGTGCCGCCAGAAATAAATTCGTAAACCAGCATAGGTATGTCTACTTCTAGACAACAACCAAGTAGTTTCACGACATGCCGGTGATTGATTTGGGAAAGGATCAGCATCTCCTTTGCAAACTCACTTCGTTGGCTCTTCTCAACGGATTGAGATTTCTTTATGGCGACTAGTTCATTGCCGAAAATCCCTTTGTAAACGATACCTTGGCCTCCTTGTCCGAGAATGTCATTAAATTTGTTTGTTGCTTTCTCTATCTGTTCCACTGTGTATATCCTGAATGATGGCTGAGATTGTGAGCAAATCTGGCGTTTCAATAGCAATCCACCATTTTGTTCGAAGAAATTCTGCTTGGAAATCAGAATCTTTCTTTTATGGAGTCCCCAGTACAACCAAGATCCAAGTATAACCAAAAGGAAAAATCCAGTGCTCACACCAGAACGTCCAGAAGTCAGGACTAAGGTTAGCTCATCTACTACAGGTAGAATCATTTTTACTATCTAGGTAGATGTAAACTTTAGTCAAGGGTGTGAAATAGATTTCCAAAATACAAAATATGTTAAAAATAGTGTTAGATGACAGAAAGGTTACCAAGAGCCACAGGTAGCATGGGGAACGTCTTCTTCAAGCAAGAATTTCGTTTGGTATCCAGTTCGGTGCCCTTTGGACATTCGCAACTATGATTCCCCTTTAGGTTAATGCAGATTTGGTCGATGGTGGAGCAGGGTTTTTGAGTTAAGCATTCGTTAATATCTATGAAGAAAAAGTTGATGCCAAGTCAGATCCAGTTGAAGAAACTGTATGTTTGTGTGTGCGTTTTTTTTGGGGGGGCATGGGGGGGTGTGGGGCGGATGTGAGTGACTGAGAGAGAGAAAGAGAGAGGTAGGGAGAGACCGTGGCACCCGTCTTCGATGTATGGATTGCCTTCGTATCCCTCAGAGCATTTGCAAATGTATCCATATGTCCCGTTGTGGCAGGTGCTGTCCACGCTGAGGCAAGCATAGGAGCTTGAGTTTTGTCTGGCTTCGACGCAGTTCCCAGTCCCTACGACCCAATCGAGAACCAGCGGTACCCCGTCAGGGTAGCTACTGTTTAACTCCCGGAGGTGGGACTTACTGAATTTGTACCAACCCTCCTCTGTTATGAAGGCATAGCTGCAAGGGCTGAATTTCCGGACTGTAGATAGCTCTGACAAGATGTAGAAACTCACGTTGTAGTAATTAAGTCCCTGGGGTATGGCGGTCTGGCAGCAGCCGAAGCCAGAGCATAACCCTTCCTCCACGTTCTTTTCTGTCAGGCACATCGAAGCGCAGCCACTCATGTAGCTGACGTTTCCCTCTCCAAGGATGAACGCTATAGCATTGCATCCGATGACGATGTACTTGTTTCGTTTTTCAGACAGTCTATAACTAGTCTTGGTTAAATCGATCCACCCGCTTCCGCTCTTAGTCGTATAATTAGAGCTGTTGTAGCACTCTATGGCGATGGTTTTGAAGATACGAACCTCACCTGCAGGCGCGGAGATGCTGATGATCTCTATGTTGCTCTCATTCGAAAACAGATAGGCCTTCGGAGGCGACGATGTCTCGTTGCAGTAGACAATGAAATTGTCGTCTCTGGAACAGTCGGCACCGATGCCAAAGGGATATGGAACGGAGATATCTCCGCAAACCTTCTGGCAGTTGGGGGAAGGCATTAGAGTCGCTGCAGAAGCAGGATGCTTCCATAAGCACAGAAGAAAGAGGACGATGAGAAAGAGCAGGAAGGGGGGCACTTCTGGAGCCATATTCGTGGCTTTTCCTCAAAGCCATGGGCCATGCTTATATATCACACAAGGCATACCGGGGAGGGGGGTCAGTAAGAATAATTCAGATGCCTCGGAGACGAAGGCTGACTCTTCGAGAAGGACCCGTCAACAACCGGTCGGTAAGAATAATTCAGATGCCTCGGAGATGAAGGTGACTCTTCGAGAAGGACCCGTCGACAACCGCTTCTGCAGCGACGAGTATGTACAATCACCAACGTCCTATTGATGATTGAACGTGTTAACATACGTAAAATGAATGTCGTCTTCTGTTACTGTAAGAAAAACGAAGTTTTTCCGATGCCAAAACTCCATGACTTCAGAAGCCTATTTTACTGATGCGAGAATTCGACGCGTATTTGGACGAACGCAAAAATAAACGACGAGATCACATACAGCAGGGAATGCTTTGACGCTTTTTACCCAGAATTAATTCAACGTGACAAACGAATGATAACTTCTATAATATTTATGTACGACGTGGAAGATTAATAATCGTAGAGGTGAAGGAGACCGGTTCGTTTGGATGCAGAAATATTAAGCGCCAGCGCTGTCCCTGAAATGTCGCCTACTCAAAGTCGTCGGTGGACAGCAATAGTCAAAAGATATTTCAGCGTTGACAGTTACAAGTTGTTTCGTCTTCCCAAGTGGAAGGCGGCAAAGCAGAGGCATAGCTTGTCGATTGACCGGCTCAAACCCGCCCATGACAAACCCTGCTGTGACGTCTTCCCTGCCCCCTCGGGCGGTCTCCGCTAGATTCCAATGTAGCCGTCCCGCCTCAGAAGCAGGTATCCTGAGACTTCACGGCACCCGAGTCGGTCTTCAGACCTCCCGCATCTGAGGTTATTCACGTCAAGCATTCCGACGGAATCTGATGAGTTCTTATCGCAGTCGCCGCCACTACTGCAGCCGGAGGAATCCTTCCCCAAAAGAACGAATTTCACCGGGCATTTTTGTTCTTCCAAAAAACTGGGACTTTCGCGGATCCCACAGAACTTACTTGTGGTAATAAATATGTAATAAACTATTTTAAAAGTAAAATATTATATTAATATGCTATCGAAAATAATTCTATAAAAGCTTTAATGTTGACATAATGCTTGTATGAAATGCTGAATAATTCCCATTAAATTATATTTTCCTTGTTTTTTCTTCTTCTAAGATTTCACTCAAAAGTGTGTCGCTTGATGATAAAATTTTGAAAGAGAAGGTAGAACTTATGATCATTCTTCACCCCACCTACCAAAACTAGGTAAATATGAGCAAAGTAGATCCTTTTTCATGAACAAGGGCTGAATAGGCAATTTTATTCATTTATATATATATATGGCTACTTACTCTCAGCAGTTGTTGGTCCACATATGATCTTAATTTCCGTTTTTTTTCATTCAGATAATATCAAAAGGCTATGAATTAAGTATTGGGCAGCATTAATTTTTGTGGCAATAAATTTACCTGGCTAGTAATTAATATTGGACCTTTTAAATAGAATAGAGTATAGGGATGCTTTGAATGGCCCGTTGAGTTAGAAGCTGCGGATATATTGGGCCACTAGTGGCGGAGCCTGTTATATTTATTTGGGCCTAATTGGGCCTCTATACGTGTTAGGCTAGGAAGCCCATAAGAGCCCAATAAACCAAACCATCTTCTGGCCACTGCTTTATAGTTCACCCACCACATGGCGACGTCTCGTAACTGAGTTTTTTGTCGGGCCAGCCCATACTCAAAGCCCCCATTTGGGCCCCCAGACTATGGTCCTATGGTCTATTGGACCGTCACGTCGGTACTCTCTCTCTCTCTCCCCTCTGTCTGTGTCCCTCGTCGCTCTCTTTCTCTCTCTTTCCGTAGATTCACGGGCGTCCTGAGAGCAGGCCAGCTGTTGTCAAAACGTGGACAGGAAACGGCCCTAAAGGATGAGCTGGTAGCCCCCTCCCCCGGGCTCCCGGGAATGCACATTTTTGTCCTTTTTTTCCGTATGATGAGTACATTACTGCAGAAAATAATTCCCTCCATAAGCGTCCTAATTTACTGGACAACCATATTAATTCGATGTCGATAGTTAATGCATTAACATCTCATTTTCCTAATTTAGTTAAAAACATGAGTGATATTATTTTTATTAATTTAATAGCATGCGAGAGTGAAAATCACCCCGATATAAAATATAAAATCATAAAAAACAATATTTAATAATAATATAAACTAGTGAGGGTACAGTTCACGTCAGGGGGTTGGGGGGGGGGGTGAGTGACTGAGGCACGAGGGAGCACCGGAATCGCGGCTCACAGGTCCACCATAAAAAAGAACCAGTGGCATGACCCTCGCCCACTCTCTCTCTCTACTTTCTCTCTCTACTTTCTTGCTCTTTACCTGCCCTCCGCCGTCGTCAACGGGGATCCTAGTTCTCCGCCGCCGCGTCTCCGGAGTCCGCCGACGCCCGCATGGAGCGGCGTCTTCTCCCCTGTCTGTTGGTCCTCTTCTTCCTATCTGCTGCGGCAGTGGGCTCCCCGGCGGCGCCTCTGTATGGTGAGCTCATCTCCCGCACAGAGATTTTCTGGGAAATCGGCGCCTTTTCCGCCCGCCCTTTGGCTCGGCAGGTTGGATAATGTCCTTTGCTCGGCGGCGCAGGGGAGGTTTCGTATGCCATAGACTGTGGAGGGACGGAGGACTTCGACGGGCCCTTCAACCGGCGGTGGACAGCGGACAGTTTCTACTCCGGCGGCGGCATCCCGGGCACGGTGGCGGAGCCGCAAAACTTCCCCCTGCGCCAGGAGCGCACCCTCCGCGCCTTCCCGCCGTCCTCCGCCGGCAAGAAGGGCTGCTACGGGGTCCCCGTCCCGCCCGGCCGGTACTATATCCGCATCTTCACCGCCTACGACAACTACGACAGCAAGCTCCGACCCCCGAGCTTCGACGTCTCGGTAGAGGGCACCCTCGTGTTCAGCTGGCGCTCCCCGTGGCCGGGGAAGATCGCGAGAGACGGCGCCTACTCTGATCTCTTCGCGGCCGTCACCGACGGCCAGGCCGATGTCTGCTTCTACAGCATTGCCACTGACGCCCCCGTCATCGGTTCCCTTGAGATCTTCCAGATCGATTGGCTGGCCTACGGCGCCGCCGACCATATCCTCGTCAACTACGGCCGCCTCACCGCCGGGGGGAGGCTCTTCGGCCCCGGATTCACCAACGACACTGACCAATTCGGCCGGGTCTGGCAATCTGACCAGGGCTTCCTCATGGACTCCGCTAAGTCCAAGGTTCTGACAGCATCTCGCCCCATCCTGGGCGCCAACCAGCGGCCGAACTTCTTCCCCACCCACCTCTATCAGACTGCCATCACCACAGCCTCCGGGGTCTCGGCGCTGGAGTACCTGTTCCAGGTGGACACTCGCCTGGACTACATGCTCTGGTTCCACTTCGCCGAGATCGATCCCGCCGTCACCGCACCCGGGAAGAGGGTGTTCGACATCTATGTCAACAAGGACAAAGTCACCCGCATGGATATCTTCAAGCAGGTCGGCGGCTTCGCCGCACTGAAATGGCAGTACGTCGCGCGGAATCTGACGAGCACTCCCCTCAGCGTGAAGCTAGTCCCAATCTCCGGCGCGCCGCTGATCAGCGGCCTCGAGAACTATGCCATGGTACCGTTGGATCTGGCCACGGTCCCCAGCCAAGGTATGGGCGACAACCTGCAATGGTGAAGCTGCTGCCCCCGCCGGGGGAATAAGGAGGTCATGATCTCATGGCTTATTTGTGTCTTCCACAGTGGCCGCAATGAATGCTCTGAAGCAGTCCCTTCGCGTTCCAGACAGAATGGGTTGGAACGGGGACCCCTGCGCACCTTCCGCGTGGGATGCCTGGGAAGGGGTGACCTGCCAACGCAGCGACGACAAGCGGGCGCTAGTGATCACTCAACTGTGAGCATTATCTCTTCTTCTACTTCTTCTTCCTTTCTCCTTGTTCATGCTCTTGTTCCTCACCCGTTTGTTCATAATAATTTCTAGTGATCCATGCCGCCCCCAATGCATAAACACGTCTTTATTTCACAGAAAGCAGACATCTTTGAACCAAACTTCTACCATCCTTTTTCTTCTTGTGCCGATTAATGTCTTAGTGGGTATGCCCACCTGGTTTACTAGTCTCACCATGAGCTTTGGTTGGAAGCTGGTTTATTCGACAGTGATCTCTAATTCATGAATGGGCTCTCTGAAGATGGCTGTTCAACTGACCAGGTTGTCCCGGGTAGTGGGTCTGTCCCAGATATACTGTGTAATCCATGCGGTGAAATCTTCAGCTTATGTATGCCCTATGCCACGCTCATCATGCTCGTCTCTGAAACCAGTGATCCCCCAATTTAGATTATGAACTTACCCACTAATCCAAGATAAGGTTTTCGTTTAATGAACTCACTTCGTCGTTAATGGCTCTACGACCCACGGAGCTCTTTCCATGCTGATTGATGTCAGAAATGGCATTCATGCAGTCACTCGCATGCGGATTTCATAATTCTTGGGCTACATTGCATGACTTTGATCAGGCTACGATCATTCAGCTTTGGTATATTTCATTTTCATCGCACGGCCTGTTTTCGATTCAAAACGGTGGAAGATTTAAAAGGACTATCAAGCGGGATTTCTTGAGAAAATCCAAGAAGCCGCAGCCTTCTCATGGTGCATTCATCTCGCTGAATCCATGAATTTCTTCGGTGGCTTAGCCTCAGAGCCGCTGCTTAAACCAAAAAGCTTTCATTTCTATCTGCCGATGCAATATTCTTATGAAAACGGCGCCGTTCATTCTTGCTTCATTGTCGCAGTGACCTTGGGAGCCAAGGGCTGAAGGGTTATATCAGTGACCAGATAAGTCAGCTGTCAAACTTGGTGTACCTGTGAGTAGAAAGTCAACAACATATCCTGTTTTTTTTTCCTTTATCTGGTTAATTTCTCAGCCATCATCGCTGTTGATGGTTAGCTTGCAATACATTGAATCACTGTCATCGTAATTATATATTTATGGCCTTTTTTTAATTTCTAATTATCATCACTCTTCTCTCCCCATTGTGTTTGAAGGAACTTGAGCTCTAATTTTCTGGAGGGAACATTGCCTGCGGGTCTCAGTCAAAGATCTCTTATGAAATTGTGAGTCAGATGATGTTGGCTCTCGCTCTTGTGCTCATGATCAGAAGTATTTCTATGATAATCATTTAATTTACTGTTTTCCTGCTGATGAAACCCACCCTCTTCAAACGCTGTTCTTTTCTCGCCTCCAGGGATCTGTCGGGGAATCTGCTATCCGGGGGCATCCCAGATACTCTGGGCTCCTCCAGCCTAGTCCTAGCGTAAGCCTCTCTCTCTCTCTCTCTCTCGCTTTCATTCCTGTGTCTTGGAAGTTGCTATCTTTTTTATTGAATGGTTTAATTTATTTATGATGACGAGTGAATGCTTTCCGTTCAGGTTGTTAAATGGCAACAGGCTGGAAGGGCAAGTACCCGAGAAGCTCTACTCGATCGGCGTCCACGGCGGGGCCATTGAGTAAGTCACTGTTCCTCCTTCCTCTCTCCCTTGAATTTAAGCAGTAAAATCGCCCAGAACACCCGTCCCTCCCTCCCTGCTCGGGGTCAAGTTCCTGGGCTTCAAAGCCATCTCATGCTATGCAACTTTGGTGGGTAGATATATTGGATCGATCTTCAGAACCCATGGATGAGAAAATTCGATGGTAACAAGCATAAAAATGTGAACTTTAGTGGGTATGAATCATCGGGTGGGATTTATTATTCTAATTATTCTACTTATTATTAATATTATTATTCGAAGGCTGTGCCTTGGTTGACCTTCGGTGTTCATCCTGATGAATGATGATGATAAGTTGATGCCCAGCCTGTCGGGGAACAAGGGCCTCTGTGGAGTGCCTTCTCTGCCAGCTTGCCCCTTCTTCTGGAACAAAGGAGGGTTGTCCACCGGCGGGAAGATCGCCGTCGGCGTAGCGGCCGCCGTCGTCCTCGCGGCTCTCCTCCTGGCCGTCTATTTATTCTGTGTGAGGAAGGGGAGGCACGAGTACGACTTCGCCCCCTCCCAAGACCTCATGTGTAAGCACCCTGACTCCCTATAAAGCTTACTTATTTCCTAGAGAGAGAGACGGACTTTATCCCAAAAGGCGCTGAATTTATATGGGGAATCTGCGCCATATTCCATCTCACCCACTAGTGGGGAATCTGAAGTCCTGTTCTTCTTATCTCTCTCTCTCTCTAACTCGCTGTCTCTCTCTCTTGCCAGCCATCGCAGCGAAGAGGAACAGATACCAGAGGCAGAAGTCGCTGATGCTCCTTGAAATGGAAACTCAGAGCGCCAATGGAACCCCAGGCACCATGAATCCGCTCTAGTGGACGCCGTCTGACAAGAGGAAGAAGACGTGGAAATGGACGATGCCTTCCTCTGGGGGAAGAAGTCAGCCCCGTTGACATGGATGGTCAAACGGCTGAGGCCCCCCCTCTTGCCGTAGAGCTTCCGCCGGAGAGGGGCACTGCGTAGGTCATTGCTTCAGCCTTGCGAGAGGTGCCCGCTTTCTCAAAGCCGGGTCGGGCCTTCAACCAAACAACCTCCGTTGCTCGCTGAAACCCTTCTATTTCTTGGCCTTCTTTATTTTTTTTTACTGGAAGTCATTCTTCCACCAAGAATGGTTGCAACCATTCTGCTGTGATCTGAAATCGTATGGGCACGAAAAACAGCACGATCGGGAAGAAGTCTAGCAAAATTTTACATTATTGGCGAGTAGCGACACGTCGAAAGGACGAACATTCTGAACCAGATTGTCTCTGCATGCTTATTATAGTAAAATATAGGCAGGGACGGACAACACGAGCAACAATGGCGGAGGACCAATCACTTGCAGAAAACCTAATATACGACGGCGATGGGATAATATGACAGACGAAGAAGAGGAGAGAAAGAGGGTCGAGAATCTATATACATACCTCTATTGCTATATACCATCATTATGTACGTAACTATGCAGGTGCTTCTTCCTCGTCCCTCCAAAACTGCGCCCACTTCTCGCGGTCATAGTCTCGAGCGGCTACGGAGCTTTGCCTGGCTTGGGATCGGCAGGTGGCTGCAGCGCTGGGGAGGGGTTCTGGGACATGAGCGTCGCCGAGGTCATCGCCTGGTACTGAGGGGGCAAAGCGGCGGCGGGCGGCGCCTGGGTGTAGTATATCTGCTGCGGGCGGCCTGCGTCGGCATACTCGTAGCCGTACCCGGGAGCTGACTGCGGCCGGTGATGGTGCATCGAGGGGTAGCCGACGAACTGGTGGGACTGATCCGCCCCCAGGTGGATGAGCTGGGGGTGCTGCGAAGCGACGGCGGTGGGGGCGTTGACTCCTGGCCGATAGATGTTGCCGGCGAGTTCCTGCTTGGGCGGCGCCACCCCGGAGGGGAGGACGCTGCCGGGGAGAGGCTTGGCCGCAACTGGGTCGCCGCTCAAATTGGGTTGCATCTGGAGGTTGTAGGCGGGGTTCTGCCGAACGGGGAGGAAGTACATGGGGACCTGTTGATTGTAGGCGTGTGGATCCTGCAGCAACTGCGGCTGCGAGTGGACGGCAGCCATCTGATGGTAGTAGTGGTTGATTGGGAGCACGGCGCCGCCGGCATGGTGGTGGAGAAGATGTGGGTTGGCCTGGAGGAACTGCTGCTGTGATTGTTGTTGCTGTGGTTGAAGCTGTTCGACGGCCTGCAGAGAAGGGAGGGGCAGTGCGGGCTGCTGCTGCAGCAGGTAGCCTTTCTCATTTACCTGCACCGGCAACCTGAAGCCGGGGTCGGAAGGGGGTGGTTCCTGGATGGGATCGGCGGCAGGGGAAGACCTTTCTTGATAGTATGCAGACCTAGGTCGAGAAATCGAAGGACGAATAGCTCGATCAATCTCTTTGCAATTGTCAATAGATTGCGGAGATAGGTTAGGGCGATTTTGGACCTCGGATGTGTACCTGGCCAAGGCGTCGCCTGATGCGGATAGATCCAGAGCGCTGGGTTTCTGCTGCTGCTGCTGCTGCTGTTGTTGTTGTTGTTGTTGCTGCTGCTGCTGTTGCTGCTGCTGGAGTTGCTGAGGCTGTTGCTGCTGGGGATGCTGGGGCGAGGATCTCCGGAAGCCTCCGTGGTCCGATTTGTCGTCATCGGAGGAGAAGACTTTGGTAGAATTAGGATTTTCTGCGAGGGAAGCGTTGGTGGGGTTCGCTCCGATTGCCGATGCGGCGGTGAGGGGAACAACGTTGATCAACTGGGGGGGCGGAGGAGGATGGTGCTGAAGGTGGGAATTGAGGCCCTCGACGTCTGTCTGCTGCTGCTGCAGCTTCTGATCGGAGAAATTCATCTGAGCAAAGTGCTCCTCCAATCCGGCGCCGATCCCCCTCCGCTCGGGGCCTCGATCGTCAGAACGGACGCGGATTGGGGGGAGGTTCGAGAGGGACGGAGCAGACGACGCCGATCCGAACGACGAGAAAGTACCGAGCATCGGCGAATCGGGGACGGAGTGGATCTCCTGTCCGCCATGCCTGCTGCCGCCGCCGCCGCCGATCTTCCCCGACGAGTCTTGCCGGGGATAGACCACCCCGTTGTCCGATTCCTGGGGGATAACTCCGCCGCCGGCTTCATTGGTGGAGGATTTGGATTCCTCGATCCCCAGAAGGCAATTGACGGAATCCACGGAGGAGCGGCCGCGGCCGAGCATGGCGCTGTTGAGGGCGTCCACAAACCAGGTCTCCGACTTGGAGTCGTCGAGGAGGGACCCGATGGAGGAGGCCGTTCCGGTGGATTCCGGCTTCGCCGGGAAGAGAAACAGCCGGAGGCGGAGGGGCTTCCCGCCGCCGGCCGCGGCGGCGACGCGGTCGTACTCTTCGATCATGTTCTCCAGGTCCTCATCGGTGGTAACGGAGATGAGGGAGTCGAGGTCCTCGGAGGGGAGCTGGTACTTGACGCAAAAGTGGCGGCCGCCGACATAGCGGGAAAGGCGGCCGTGAAGATCGCCCAGCGTCGAGTGGCGCTCCATCACCACGATCCGAGTCTCCCCGCCGAGGTAGCACAGAGTCCTGTCGTGCGGCCGCGGCACGATCTGCCCGCCATAGCTGCACATCAGCCGGAGCTTGGCGCCGCCGCCGCCCCCCGCCAGCTGCGCAGCCGCTGCGACGTTCGCCGACGGGGGGAAGGAATCATCCCACGATTCCCCTCCCCGCGACCTCGGTGACATCGAGTCTATCGACTCTGCATAGCCCCCCGGCCCCCCTCCCGAGGGGGCGGCGCTCTCCATCGACGCTCCTCTCTCTGTCTCTCTCTCAACCCTTCTTTCTCTCTCCCCAACCTTCCCCCTCTCGCTGATCTTTGCCCTCTTCCAGTATCTGCCCCTCCTCCCTTTCTCTCTCTCTCCCTCTACCTTATTGGTAACAGCTGTTCTTTATTACGTGGATAAAATTAAAATAAAAATACATTGCGGGCACGTACGGTGAGCTGTCAGAGGGCTCAAGAGAAGGGTGGGCCCTCGCCCAAGAAGAAAAACGCAAAAGCAAGAGAGAGACGGAGAGAGGAGATAGAGAGAGCGGAGACCAACAGGGCTAGTTGTCCCCGGAGTGTTTGGATTGCAGGATATACTGCAAGATTGGGGAGGAATCCCAATTCCAAGTCTCGGTCTCATCAGCTGGCCCGCAACGCAGAGCTGACTGATGGGCCCCCAAATTTCGAGCCCAGTAGGCACCGCATTCATTCCCCAAGTAATAGGAAAATCCTCAAGACTTCTCTCTCTCTCTCTCTCTCTAGGATGTCCACGTCGGAACCTTTTCCGCGGAGGTCTGTACTGTGCAAAGAACTTTTGGTCGACGACGGGACGTAGTGGAGGGGGGAGGAGATGACCCACCGGTTAGCCGAGGAGGCGGATAACTTATCCCTTGAGACTTTCCGTCCGTCCGTCCCTTGGACGGTTCCTCCGGCGACGACTTCGTCGGCCGCCATCGAAGCTCCTCCGCCCGCCGCCGCCACGATGCCCATGATGGTTCTGTTCTTAACGTCTTCCCTCCTGCTGAAAGCGACGGGGCCACGGCAGCCGCCGACAGGCGGGGCTGATCTCGAGCCTTCCACATGTCACCGGATCAAGGAGGAGGAAGGTGGTGAGCTCAATAAAATATGGTCACGGTCCTCTCTCGTTGCCGTCTTCACGGCGGGGCTTCCAGGCCGCGGCAAGCTGAGGAGACGGCGGCGGTGGAACTCCGGTGGCCCTACGTACTCTCTGCTGTTTTCGGCGGCGGTGGAACTCCGGCCATAGCCTTCGTCAGCTGCAGATTAATAACTCTCCATGTCGTGGAAATCAAGGGCGGGGAGAATAAAAAAATGGGAAGGTTTTGAGGCGCATGTGAAGGGCACTGAAAGCCGGAAGAGAGCTTGCTGTCTTCTTCCTCCTCGCCGGCTGCCACGGCAGCCGGTAGATTCTGATCCCTCCTCTCGCACGCCACCGCGCCCGTCTGGGAACCCGACAAGACGAGGACGGGGGGGGACTGTGGGTGGGGAGGCAGCAGCGGAAATATAGCCGTTGCGGTGGTGGCAGCGACCCTTTTTCAGGTTTTTAAACACGCCGCGGTTTTCCTTTCTCCCACAGTGGTGCATGTACTCGTCGTCCCCCCCCCGAAGCAAGGTAGCAATGGCCCCACGAGCAAGGAGAGCGGCGCTCCTCCTCCTCTCTCCCACTCTGCTGCTGCTGTTGCTGTGCCTCTTCGGCTCCTTCAAACTGGGAATGGCAGGCTCGCCCTATGCTTCCCCTTCCCGGCCTCCTCCTACCGGTCTTCTCCTCGGCTGCTCTTCTTCCCTGCCATAATGCACTCGACTTGCAGAGAAGCTCACCTCCTCTGTCTCATTCTTCACTTTGCAGGAGAGACGGCGAAAGGTTCCAGACCGGGTGAGGCACAGGTGAGAGCAGAGGCCTTGAGACAGCAGGGGGATCTCCTTGAGAGAGACGAGCAGAAACCCTAATCCTCCAAATGTCCCTCCCTCTTCCTTGTTGCTCGCAGAAAACGTGGTGCGTGGCGAAGCCGTCGACGGAGGAGGCGGCGCTGCAGGAGAACATCGACTTCGCCTGCTCCCATGTCGACTGCGGCGTCCTGAGGAGCGGATGCGCCTGCGCCGCCCCCAACACGCGCATCAACCACGCCTCCGTCGCCATGAACCTCTACTACGAAGCCATGGGCAGGAACCACTGGAACTGTCACTTCGGGAACTCCGGGCTCATCGTCCAGACCGACCCGAGTAAGACCTCCGACAACCCTCCTCCCGACGACTTTGGATGATTACTTGGCTTCGTTTCTGAGATCCGAGTAAGACCTCCGGCAACCCTTCTCTGTTGCAGGTTACGGCACCTGCGCGTACCCGTGATTTGGAGATTAGGGATTCAGACGGCGACGAATTCGTAGATGGAGGGGGGGCGATCCTTGTCCCTTGCGTTCTCGTCGTCGGGCTACAGAATTGTAGGACTTTGTTGAGGCAGTCTCGTAGTTCAGGCGCTCCGTTGGGATCTTCTTCTGTACTGCCTTCCTCTTCTCCTTTTTTCGTAGGAAAGCTGTGGAACTGATGTTGTTCTTCTGAGATCGGCCGAATGATGGAAGCGGGGGAAATCACATATGCAAAATAACCTGGAAAAACCGTTGAAACGCTCGGATGACTGAAATCGTGCGAGATCGACGAGTGCGACAGGGGAGAGATGCAGAGGGAGGGCGGCATTATACTATCAAACCCTAGAAACGGATCTGACTGCCACACAAGAAAATCAATGTGAACTGGACTGAGAAGACCAAGACCGCCATGGAAAGGAATCCGGAGGAAACCAGGCTATCAAAGCAGAGAGGAGGCGACAAGGATCTCCCATCTTTCCCCCCCGGAAACAGAGACTGAGAAAGAAAGCAGAGGAGAAAGATTCACATACCTCTCCTCCTTCCCTCCCGATTTCTCCCCCACCTGACGGCATCCGATCGGAAGCATTCTCTGGCGACGGCGTATTCCGGCGTATTGGGCCATTCTCATGTGGGCCGACGCCCGAGTCCATCCCTTCGCGGGCCTCTTTGAAACAGGCCCAGAACGGGAGTCAACACGTAGATTAAGTAAATAGACGCATAAACCATACTGATATGCTTGACCCGACGAGGTTCGGAGTCTAAACGGTCCGAAAGTCAGCGCGACTCCCATTTTCTTGGGTCGGCTTCAGAAATACCCCTCTTGCGTGTTGACGGCAGGATATTTCGTCAAAACATCCTAATTTCTTCTCGGAAAATTGGAACGCCGGGGCCGACAAGGGTACGCGCAGAGACAAAGATGAGAGGGCGCCGCAGCGGGGTTGTGGCTAGGTGAGCGCCGCGTGTCAGGAGGTAGGCCGGGGGGGGATCCGAGATCCTCGGAAGAGAACGCTTCCGCCAATGGGAGCGGCGATAGAGATTTGGTTCTGGATAGGATAGCTTCGCTATCTGATCTTCCTCAGCTCTGGCCGCCGCGAGCTGAGGTTACTTAAAGCCGCTCAGCGATTGGCGATCCTCCACACAATATAGTAGCGTCTTCTCTCTCTTTCTCTCTAGCTCCGAAGAACCACCGCAGTCCGCCCAGTCCATCTCTCCCCCGGGGAAAATGGCAGCCACCATGGCCCTCTCCTCACCTTCTCTCGCGGGGAAGGCGGTCAAGCTCGCCCCCGCCGCCTCCGAGGTCTTCGGTGAGGGGAGGATCTCCATGAGGAAGACCGCCGCCAAGCCCAAGCCCGTCTCCTCCGGCAGCCCCTGGTACGGGCCCGACCGCGTCAAGTACCTGGGCCCCTTCTCCGGCGAGGCCCCCTCCTACCTCACCGGCGAGTTCCCCGGCGATTACGGCTGGGACACCGCCGGCCTCTCCGCCGACCCCGAGACCTTCGCCAAGAACCGGGAACTGGAAGTCATCCACTCCCGCTGGGCCATGCTCGGCGCCCTGGGCTGCGTCTTCCCGGAGCTGCTCGCCCGCAACGGCGTCAAGTTCGGCGAGGCCGTGTGGTTCAAGGCCGGGTCCCAGATCTTCAGCGAGGGCGGCCTGGACTACCTGGGCAACCCCGGCCTGGTGCACGCCCAGAGCATCCTGGCCATCTGGGCCACCCAGGTCATCCTCATGGGCGCCGTCGAGGGCTACCGCGTCGCCGGCGGGCCACTGGGCGAGGTCACCGACCCACTGTACCCCGGCGGCAGCTTCGACCCGCTGGGTCTGGCTGACGATCCCGAGGCCTTCGCGGAGCTGAAGGTGAAGGAGCTGAAGAATGGGAGACTGGCCATGTTCTCCATGTTCGGTTTCTTCGTTCAGGCCATCGTCACCGGGAAGGGCCCGCTGGAGAACCTGGCCGACCACCTGGCGGACCCCGTCAACAACAACGCCTGGGCCTACGCCACCAACTTCGTCCCCGGCAAGTGAGCCCGATGAGGCCCTGAAATGGAGGCCCCAGCTCTCGAGGTTTCTGCCTGGGGTAGATGACGGGGTGGGTTTTTGGGGTCGTTCATGGTTGTAAACTATTTATCAGAAATGTTCCTGTATATTTTTTTGCTACAAGTCTTCTTTACTTTATCTTCCCACTCTTTCCTATAAGCTTTCTCTTCTGGCCAAGTTCCGTCTGGAACACGCCACGGCCCAGTTATGGCGTATAGAGAGGTCTGTGGCCCTGCGAAGAGCTCAGACGAACGTGGATGACCACCCTTAAGTCCAATGCTCGTGCCCCAAAACTCGTTTATAGACGACATGCCTCTGGTGGCCTCCATACGCCATCAACTCACAGAAAATATTAGTCATATGTTCCCCCCGATTTCGTGTATATTAGGTCAAATGAAACATGACCACGGATTTCCAGCAAGGCTGTAAGGGGCTCAAGTTTCTTAGCCTGCCTACTCCGCAAATGGGATGTCGTTTTGTAGGCCCTCGAGCATTTATATGAACGCAACATTAGCTCTGTTGTATTGCAGCTAAATAGTTTTCCATTACTAATAGAAGCAATGAAGATTGCTGACTATTGAACCATCAATTAAATGATCGATAAACTAAGCGTTGAAGGTGGGATGCTCTGATTTTGTCATTGATTTCTATTCTCGTGACGATTTGACATAGATCACGTGCATGATAGAACCCATAGATATATTACTGTGACTAAATTTTTGTTCATTTGACGCCGTACTATTTTATAAATTTATTCACAGATACCCATAATGATTTATAAATTTATGAATGTAGTATAAATTATAATGAATTGACAAGTATTTCGAAAACATAGATAATGTAGGAGAGACATCAAGAGAAGAACATGAAACTTTGTTTGTGCATCACCTAAAAAGAAATATTGGTGAGACTTTCATTGGGTGTTAGTGGTAGCTTGATTTATTTTGGTACGAAAAAAGTGCTAACATTTTAACTCAGAAACTATTATTATTTAAAGTAACCTCATCACTTAAACAAAAACCAAGGAAGATATCCGTCTGTTAAAATTAAATACAAGGAATAGTTAGTGTGGGCGATTTCATGATATTTAGTTTAAAGATTTAATTTACCTCAATGTATACTAATTACATATTACATAATTTTCCTTCCTTCATTTACAATTCAGATCAATCAAAATTGGAGAATTTAGAAGCTTCTTGTGATCAAGCTCTCACAATGATCCAAGCTCTCAATTAGATTGAGTCATGTATCCCAACACTCCAAACGTTCTTTGGAGGTAGACTAAGTGCTTCATTTAAACTTCATATTGGGTTTAGTGCAATATTGTTATTGAGAAAGACACAGAAATTTATTTAGTAACTGATATAGAAAATTTCTTTTAATATTTTATTGATACCTTGAGGAAGATGATCTACAATATCATATGAGAGGTTTAAATAGTGAAGTGGGTTATGTATCTTATCAAACTATTCTAAACATCGGTATGCCTCACTTGGCTTGTGTGTATTACAATAAACACTAAAATCTCTAAAAGGTTTTCTCTAAAAATCAGTAGAAATGACACTCATGTAACATTTACAAGAAGAGAAAAACAAAAAAAAGGAAAGATGGGGAAGGGAGATACTTTAGTAGATTGAAGCCTTCTCATTAGTCATTAGTCCATTATAATAGAGTTCATGTCCTTCTACCATGGGGATAGTATTGTATGTGAAGAAAGGAATAGGATGGCCATCGACTGCTGCCTTCTCACTATAGTCTTCTATGGTCATGTTACTCACATAAACCATCCTTGGTTTCCAAATATAGTAAGGAAGAGGATCAATTGTAAATCTCATTACTTGTCTCGAGTAACGAGTCTTTGATTTGTTGCATCTCAAGCATCATATACTAGAGGTTCAAGAGGATAGCTAATTTCTCTTAAAAGTGGTTGTTGGCTTTTACAACCTATCTTGTTTTGATATTGACAAAGCAATGAGAGGGTAAAATAGTAACATATATTTCAAAAGTTTGTTGAATGAACATGCAATTTCGAAAATGTTTGTAAAAACCAACGACTCATTACCAAGTTGATGCATAATCCCTAGTTTCCCTTTTAAACAAAGAGTTAATTCAACTTATCTAAGTAAATTAATTGATATTGTAAGGGCAACAAGAGATGATAAAATAAATAAAATAACAAAGTGCTAAAATAATGAGAATTTAAAGCCATACAGAAATATTAAGGGCAACACCACACATATGTTATATGTAGTCAATGTGGGTGAGCATTTTTTATCATTATGACATCTTCAGAATGAGAATTTAAAGTCACACAAAAGTATTAAGGGCAACACCACACATATGCAGGATTCTAACATTATTTTGATGAGTAGTTATTTATCTCATTATATTTCAAAGGTTCTGGCTCTAAGTTCAAAGAAGCTCTAAATCAATAACATCAATATTTTATTGATTCACAAATGAGTGTAAATGCATTTTAATCATGGTAGATTTTAGTTAGAAGCAAGTGTTATGTGTATTCAGGCTAGGCTATATCCATGCATGTAAAGTTACTATTGGGTGTAACTAAGGTGACTTAAAGTCCTAAATATTAAGAACCTAGGTCAGTATAACTAAAGGACATGGGCATTAAAATAGTGGAGAAGCAAAGGGATACTAAAATAATCCAAGTGTGAGGTATTTTTGTATCCCAAATTAGAGTTGGCTTTCATAAAAAGAGGATAATCCTAACTACAAAGAAAACATAAGGGATGATGATTCCATGAGATCTAATACAAAATGTTATTACCCAATGAAAATAATTATGGATGGTGTTATTGTAAACTATTGTGTGAGATGACATATATATTTAAACATTAGCACTTGTTGGTAAACGCATTGTAGTTTCTTAAATGATGCTATATTTTTTTCATGAAAGGACTAATGTGGCTTAGTTGTCGTTTAATAAATCACATAAATTTAAAATTTATAAAGCTAAAAAATACTATTTTTTAGATTTTTCATAAATATTTTATAAAAAATAAAATATTTATAATTTGATAAAATATTTTAAAAATAGTAGAAATTTTTTAGGTCAATCATAGAGATATAAGATAATATCAATTGATATCTTAAAATTTTATTTAAAAAATATAATTTTTTAAATATTTTTTAAATATTTTTAAAAGTAAATAATAAAATATATTTAAAATTTTGTGAAAAAGAGAAATAAGGGTGCAAACATCAAGATGACATTTGCGTCTTGAGGAACGAGAATCTTCATAAATGATTATAGATTATTCAATGCGTCAAATTAAGATATGTAAAAGCTAGAAGAATTATAATTGAATGAAGAAGATTTTCAGAATTTGAAATAACATAGTGTCACTAAATTAAGTAAAAAATAAGTTGAAACTAGGAAAGATAGAGTTTTGGCCTTGTAATAATGATCGTCAAAATTTTGGACATTCAAGAGGATCATCAAACGATGTCTATAACCTCAAAAGTTCTTTTTGGATAAAGATAATGTAAGTAATCTCTAAATCTTCTTGTGAAGTTTAGAAATCAATAAAGTGGGTCATTAAATCGTCTCAAATGTTATCACCTGGTAGAGTAGAAAAATAATAACTTTATAACTCTTTGGTGGCTTTCACCCGACAGAGATGAGTTGAATGGAGATGAGGCATGTATTAAGGAGTTTCATTCTCAAGTTCATGTAACAAGATGAGGCTTTTCATCACATTTGATATGCTCTCAAGAGGCGACAACTTGTCTTCTAGCATATCATCTTCATCTTGATGATAACTTATTTGTTGATCAATTAGAGATGAATTTACTTGATGGATTCATGATCTTTTTATCATGAATCATTCAATAATTTTAATAATGATGTTTCACAAATCACGTTAATGAGATTTTTATCGATGTTTGAATAATTATGATGACTTAATTATTCACCGACAATCTATAAAATAAATTATAATTTAATCAGATAAAAATATGAGTTCTAACTGTGGTAAAATTCAAACCCTCGACGATCACTTGTCTGTATGAGAGAGAGTGAAATAAGTACATGAATACCCTTATAAAGTGATGTTATCAGAGTACCTCCTAATAAATAAAAGATATTTGAGATACAAAAAGTATAAATATTATGAGAAAGATGTGGTTGTTAGTTTAGTCCCACATTGATTGTGTCAAATTTTGAGATGGATATATCATATTACGAGATTTGGTAAGTAATGAGTCTCTTTCTCGTGTGTGTATCATTGTTTACACCATGCCTAATTGGCCACCAGTGACATGAAAGGAGAGTAACTCACACATGTCTATCATCGACCACTCCACTTTGCCTGATTGTGCTTCCAATCTACTTGTAGGGTAGGCTGGTCAAGAGGTTCTTTTTTTAAAATTTTATTTTATTTATCTCAAAACATTATTATAAAAATTATAAAAATTCACATAAATTATATAATTAGTCAAAAATTCACATTAACTAGCTAAAAATTAATTTTTATAATTTAATATAAATATAAATCTATTTATCATGAGTTAAAGTTAAAATTATATTATTAATGAATTATTAACTCATGATATTGAAGACTTATCAAGGACAATATAGAAACTTCCTAAAAACTTAAAGCATTTAGTGACCTTTTTCCATACTCAATGATGAATAAGTTGAACAAACAATGTTGTTTTTGAGATCTATGTGAAGAGGAAACATTTTACTCATATAATTTTTTTAATAGTGAGAAAGGTTGTCCCTATTAAATTTTTAGATGACCATGTTTATTTTGGTGACATATACGTTGTTGCTCATATAACCATAATAACTATTATGGATCTTATCCTCCTTAGTAATCTTTCAAAACATATTATAGTTGGACAAATTATATCTTTGGACCACTCTGAAGTGTGACAGAATAAATTTGGTAAGGATACAAGATTCTTAAAATAAATGAGACAAGCTCCTTGATGTGACTTAGTCGTTGTATAGTAAATCACATAAATTTAAAATTTATAAAACTAGAAAATATGAATTTTCAGATATTTAAAAGTATTTCTAAACAAATATATTAATTATAATTAATAAAACTTTTAAAAATAGTAATAATTTTTCAAGTCAATCACAAGGATGTAATATAATATTTGGTAATTATTCAGATTTTTTTTTAAAGAAGATTATTTTTTATAAATTTTATACTCAGAAATGAAAAGAAAATATATTTAAAATTCACAAAAAAGGGAAATAAGGGTGCGGATGTCAGGATGACATTAGCACCTAGTGAACATGAATCAGACAAAAATAAAGTTCCGCTTGATAATTCTTATGTAAGTAATTATAGATGATTTAATTGATCAAATTAAGATCTATAAAAGTTGAAAAAATTATTATTAAATGAAGTATGTCTTAGTAAATTTAAATCACACAAACTATCACTAAATGATACAGAAAGTAAGTTGAAAATAGGAAAATAGAGTTCTGCCTCTACAGTGATGATGCGTTGGTGATGCACCGAAATCTTGAGCGTTTGGGAGGATCGTTGTGTAGTGTCCACAACCTCGAAGGCTCTCCTTGAACAAAGATAATATGAGTAATCTCTAGATCTCCTTGTAAAGTGTAGAGATCAATGAAATAGGTCATCGAATCGTCTCTAGTGATTGTCACTCAGTAGAACAGAAAAATGATAATTTTGCGACTCTTCAATAACTATCACCTGATGGAGAGAAGCTAGATAGAGGTGGGGCGCATGTCAAGGAGCTTTATCCTCAAGTCTGTGCAACAAGAGGAGGCTCTTCATTGCATCCAGTATACTCTCAGGAGGTGGTGACTCGTCTTTCGACGAATCATCTTCTTCCTGACGATGGCTTATTCATTATTTAATCGAAGATGCTTTACTTGATGGATTTGCGATCTTTTTATCGCAAATCGTTCAAAAATTTTAGTAACAATACGTCGCAAATTGTGTTGATGAGATTTTCACTGATGATCTAGCGATTTATAAAAAAGTCAATCCTTTGAATTTTTTTCATCAACGATTTGTAAGAAAGTTGTGATAATTAGATAAAAAATATGAGTTTTGGCTTTAGGAGGATTCAAACTTGTGCTAGTTGTCTGCCCTTTTTAGGGAAGGTGTGACATAGGTTGCCCCACATTATTTGTGTGCCAAAGTTTTGGGCGAATATATAATAATATTATATTTCAAAGTAAGTCTCTTTTTCAGACATATACGATCACTCTTTGCCCCACAATTAGTTGGCCATCAATGATATGGAAGGGGAGTGGTCCAAGTCATTCGAGCCCTTACTCGTGGCTACTCCCTGACTGTGCTTCCGACCGCTTTCAAGCCCAACTAGTTGTTGGTTACTCCCCCCATTTTGTTTCATTTTTATTTTAATTTCTTTTTATTTATTTATCTCAAAAGTAAAATTATACAAATCATATAAATTCATATAAAATCACATATTTACCTTAAAATTCACATTAATCAACTGAAAATCACTTTTCACACTTTAACATAAATATAGGTCTATTTATCATGAGTTAAGGCTAAAACTATATTATTTACTAATTATTAACTCATGATAATGAAGACCTATCACTCCTCAAGAAATATCTAAACTCCAAACTTATAGGCTGACAAAACAAATATTTAGGGTCTTGAAGTGTGGCAGGTGGAGCTCCATGGTCCTTTTTAGGGTCTATATTCATGCGTAGGGTGGCATGGTGGCATGAAATCAATGTTTGGATCAAACCAAACTTGATAATGCCTAGCTGACCTAGCCCATCTAAATTATTACTCCATATTTCTCTTAAATATTTAAGTAAAAAAGTGACACTTCATGCCGCAGGGGATGTCAATGCCTAGGATGATAGTAGGCTAGTTCAAGCAAGTGAAGCCGTCAAATTCAGCTTAGAGGTTAGGAGGAGAAATTAAAATATTTATTCTATTAAACTATTTTCCGCGCAAATGTGTCATATAGCGAGCAAAAATGAAGATCAAATTTTTCTACTCGGGTAAGGCATGCGTACGCACACACACCCACCCCCGCACGAGCACAGCTCATAACCACACACGCGTGCACACAAAGCCGAGCGCATAGCTCTCGCCACCCACGAGCGCACACACATCCCGCACCAAAGCGCAAATGCAAACACACGCGTCTATACGAACGTAGGTACCGAGAAGATGTACGCAGAAAGATATGCAGGGGACAGGAACGTGCACCAAGTAAGCCCGTTGCCTCGTAGACAGAAGAATCCCAGCGTGTGGTGCGGACTATACCTTCAAGTGACATGACGGCCCACCGAGTGAGCGCATCTCAACTCGTGGCTGGCAGAATGCCTACGACCAAATCTATCAAACAAGTTTCGGGCGAGGCCAATGACGCTAGCTGACGGGATATCACCGGACGGAACTCCATCTCTTCTTCTCTCGACTCGCCAACGTTACTTAAGCAGACGCATCAGGCCGTTTTGTCCTCACCTCGAACGCCAGAACTCATCCTCGCTCTCGCTACACCACTCGCTTTCACCATCACAATGGCAGCCACTATGGCCCTCTCCTCACCTTCTCTCGCCGGGAAGGCGGTCAAGCTCGCCCCCGCCGCCTCCGAGGTCTTCGGTGAGGGGAGGATCTCCATGAGGAAGACCGCCGCCAAGCCCAAGCCCATCTCCTCCAGCAGCCCCTGGTACGGGCCCGACCGAGTCAAGTACCTGGGCCCCTTCTCCGGCGAGGCCCCCTCCTACCTCACCGGCGAGTTCCCCGGCGATTACGGCTGGGACACCGCCGGCCTCTCCGCCGACCCGGAGACCTTCGCCAAGAACCGTGAGCTGGAGGTCATCCACTCCCGCTGGGCCATGCTCGGCGCCCTGGGCTGCGTCTTCCCGGAGCTGCTCGCCCGCAACGGCGTCAAGTTCGGCGAGGCTGTGTGGTTCAAGGCCGGGTCCCAGATCTTCAGCGAGGGCGGACTGGACTACCTGGGCAACCCCCGCCTGGTGCACGCCCAGAGCATCCTGGCCATCTGGGCCACCCAGGTCATCCTCATGGGCGCCGTCGAGGGCTACCGTGTCGCCGGCGGGCCATTGGGCGAGGTCACAGACCCGCTGTACCCCGGCGGCAGCTTTGACCCGTTGAGCCTGGCCGACGACCCCGAGGCCTTCGCGGAGCTGAAGGTGAAGGAGCTGAAGAATGGAAGACTGGCCATGTTCTCCATGTTCGGTTTCTTCGTTCAGGCCATCGTCACCGGGAAGGGCCCGCTGGAGAACCTGGCGGACCACCTCGCCGATCCCGTCAACAACAACGCCTGGGCCTACGCCACCAACTTCGTCCCCGGCAAATGAAGCTTGTTCTCAGCATTGCCGTTGGACGTCTGTCCTAGATGATCACCTATTTCCAGTTGGAGCATCCGAGTTTCGGCTTGTAAATTAACACTATGAAGTGGTGTTATTATTTTTTTCCCATTTTACTTTTAATTTTCCAAGCTCTTCATGGCTGAAAGGGGAAATTTGGCAATGACAAATTTTGTGTCTTGGTGCGTGAGATTTTGGTGGTTAGAACGCCACAAACAATGATGCATGATATAATGTGGGTTACTTGCCTGTCTAGAGTGAAGATGTTGTGTGAAGGTTTCGAGATCATTTTCCTGGTTGTAAACTATTTGAATGAGTTTATTATTATTTTTCTATTTTAATTCTTTGGATCATCTTCGTGTTAATCTTACCCGCAGAAACTACGTTCTGGTTAATTTCCGTGGTGTACGGTACTGGCCATTGCAATGGAAGAATTATACAGTCATTATTTACATGAAAATTCAAATCTACAACAACAAATGAGAAATTTCTCTCAATTAATCCTTCTCTGCAACCATATCCACTACTAGCATTGTAAACTTGAACTTTGAGAGTAAGATTTTCAAAATTTCATAGATAACAACATTTTGTGGGAAAGTTGATCTACCTTTCCCACACTATAGTAGATATTGTATACTTAGTAGGCGTTCTTAGATAATTTAGCATAAACTTAGGGAGACTCATCTACTATCCGTAGATAGGGTTTAATAGTATTTAAAAGCCCTTGGTAGAGGAATTTTGTTTAAGAAAAATAACAACATAGATTTGAAAATTTGTACTGACATTGATTTTACTGGTTCTATTATTTGATTGACGATCAACCTTAAGCTATCATATATTATTGAGAGGTAATCTCATCACATGGAAGGTCAAAAACAAGTGGTGACATGATCAAACATAGAATATAAATTTAGAATTATGTCATAAGACATATGTGAAGTCTTGTGGGTGAAAAGACTTCCTAGAAGATCTCAAAGTTAGGCAACAAGGTTCAATCAAGCTCTATTGCGATAATAAATCAGTTATAAGCATTGCATACTATTCAGTGCAACATAATCAAACCAAGTATATCGAGAGTGATCAACACTTCATCAAAGAAAAAATAAATAGTGGTGACATTTACAAAATAAATAGTGGTGACATTTACACATCATATATCTCTATACGTAATGAACTAGCCAATATCCTCATCAAATGATTAAGTGGACTAGTTTTTTAGAGATAAATTTTCATGTTGGGACTGGATGACATCCACCCACCAACTTCGGGGGAAATGTTGGATATGGTGATTACATTTTCTTCTTTCTTACCATTCTGTACTTCTATCCTCTCTCTGCTCGTAAGTGAATCGGATCCGGTTTGGTGTAAGTATTACCCAATCACTGGATCAAACATACTTGGGCTAGGCTTGTATACCAATTTTTCCTTTTTCTCTCACTTCCTCTATCCTCAAATGAGAGCAACGTTTTTTTTCACCAACAGTAGTTCTCTCTAACAATCAGCGCTCCCAAGAGGTTCAACACTTGTAGTAGTATGAAACGGAATACTAAGAGTGCCTTCAAACAGCCATTCGAAAGCCTTACTATCTTGCTTTATCTTTTGGGTTGAAGAGATACTATAACTGGTGCAAATTATACAATTTTTAGAAAGTTCTTAATAAATTTAATCTCATTTTCTACTTAGATTATCCTTATTACGACAAATACTGGAAGCTGAACTTTTGCAATACGAAACATGATATTCCTTTCAAGATGCCAGGGGTATTCATTCAAAAATGATACTCGTACAACGATTCACAACTGCTCACAGATTCACCATTAGTTCACACAGCAGACACCAACCCAAATAGCAGAGCAGAAAATGAAGCTCAGCTCCTTGTTTTCTGCTGCCAAAGGATGGAACCTTTCCTCACTTACCGGGGACGAAGTTGGTGGCGTAGGCCCAGGCGTTGTTGTTGACGGGATCGGCGAGGTGGTCCGCCAGGTTCTCCAGCGGGCCCTTCCCGGTGACGATAGCCTGAACGAAGAAACCGAACATGGAGAACATGGCCAGTCTCCCGTTCTTCAGCTCCTTCACCTTCAGCTCCGCGAAGGCCTCGGGATCGTCAGCCAGACCCAGCGGGTCGAAGCTGCCGCCGGGGTACAGCGGGTCGGTGACCTCGCCAAGTGGCCCGCCGGCGACGCGGTAGCCCTCGACGGCGCCCATGAGGATGACCTGGGTGGCCCAGATGGCCAGGATGCTCTGGGCGTGCACCAGGCCGGGGTTGCCCAGGTAGTCCAGTCCGCCCTCGCTGAAGATCTGGGACCCGGCCTTGAACCACACGGCCTCGCCGAACTTGACGCCGTTGCGGGCGAGCAGCTCCGGGAAGACGCAGCCCAGGGCGCCGAGCATGGCCCAGCGGGAGTGGATGACCTCCAGCTCCCGGTTCTTGGCGAAGGTCTCGGGGTCGGCGGAGAGGCCGGCGGTGTCCCAGCCGTAATCGCCGGGGAACTCGCCGGTGAGGTAGGAGGGGGCCTCGCCGGAGAAGGGGCCCAGGTACTTGACGCGGTCGGGGCCGTACCAGGGGCTGCCGGAGGAGACGGGCTTGGGCTTGGCAGCGGTCTTCCTCATGGAGATCCTCCCCTCACCGAGGACCTCGGAGGCGGCGGGGGCGAGCTTGACCGCCTTCCCGGCGAGAGAAGGTGAGGAGAGGGCCATGGTGGCTGCCATTGTGACGGTGAAGGTGAGTTGTGAAGTGAATGCGAGGATGAGTTCTGGCGTTCGAGGTGAGGAGGTAGAGTTCTCGTGTCTTCGACTAAATACTACGGAGAATGGAGAGGAAGATGAGGTCCTTATCCGTTGATATCTACTGACCTCACGCCATTGGCTCTGTTCACCACTTGTTTGATACGAGTACTCACGGGGAGGATGCTCCTCCACATGTTTAGATACTTCGCTATACGAGGCAGGCATTTGCCCGTTGTGAGCCACAAATGTAGATACTTTCTTCCACGTGGAAGGTCGATTCACCTTGGGGACATATATTCCGTGATTTCCTCTCTCGGGCTAATTTCACGTATTAGTTATGGAAAATATATGATGTTTTACTCCCTAGCCGCAAAAAGTACTGACAAAAGCTCAAGTTATTCCCTCCCTCACTCCCATATCGACTGAATTAGGCCTGGAGCAGTTTTGCTATCCAATCTATGTTATACAAAACCAGCTACGGTTCGACTTTGACTCATTTTTATCAAATTTTCTGAAAATCAAGCCAAGACGAATAAATAGACTTTGCTCGGCCTCATCAGCAGTAACTCATAGTTGTCAGAATATCACTCACATAATTCCCTCTCTCTCTCTCTCTCTCTCTCTCTCTCTCTCTCTCTGTGTCTCTCCCTATGTCTCTCTGTTCGACTGTATCTTTGAAAAACTGGGTCTGGTAAGCTTCTTGTTGCCCATTGTTTGAACAAGTTCCTGGAGATGAACAAAGTCCTGACCTTGGGAAAGATACCCGATCTGGGCCTCAGCTTTGAAAGGCTCCGATCTGCCCTTGGCCTAAAGATGCTCCAAATTCAGATCTGGTAAAATTTTAAATCCGAATCTCTTGATAATGGATTAACGACATCATTGTCTATTTCATTAACATACTTATCTAAAGTAAGGAGTGCCTATTTACCTGTAATTTTTATGTTTTGATTGATTCTGGAAACAGATTGATTTCTAAATTCTCAAAGAAAAATTGTTTCCATGGAAACCCAAATTATTATCACACGAACTAATTTCAATCTGAATAGCGTTTTCCGTAGAATAGGTCGTCTTCATTCCTCAGCTTTTCTTTCTTTCCGCCGGATTGGTATGATCGCTACTTAGTCTGTGCTAAGATACAAGGATACCGCTGGACAGAGAAGGAGAGCCGTGAGTTTCCAGATAATAACCTATAACATTTTTTGGCTAATAGTAAATCCAAAAGTTTTATCATGTGCGCAACCTCATGGACTTCGATAAAAGATGTCGAATCACACAGCAACCCACATTATATCATGCATCACCGTTTGTGCCTTTCTAGCATCTAAAATTTCAGACACCAAGACCCAAGATTTGTTGTTGCCAAATTTCCCCTTTCAGCCATGAAGAGCTTGGAAAATTAAAAGTAAAATGGGAAAAAAATAATAACACCACTTCATAGTGCTAATTTACAAGCCGAAACTCGGATGCTCCAACTGGAAATAGGTGATCATCTAGGACAGACGTCCAACAGCAATGCTGAGAACAAGCTTCATTTGCCGGGGACGAAGTTGGTGGCGTAGGCCCAGGCGTTGTTGTTGACGGGATCGGCGAGGTGGTCCGCTAGGTTCTCCAGCGGACCCTTCCCGGTGACGATGGCCTGAACGAAGAAACCGAACATGGAGAACATGGCCAGTCTCCCATTCTTCAGCTCCTTCACCTTCAGCTCCGCAAAGGCCTCGGGGTCGTCGGCCAGACCCAGCGGGTCGAAGCTGCCGCCGGGGTACAGCGGGTCGGTGACCTCGCCCAGTGGCCCGCCGGCGACGCGGTAGCCCTCGACGGCGCCCATGAGGATGACCTGGGTGGCCCAGATGGCCAGGATGCTCTGGGCGTGCACCAGGCCGGGGTTGCCCAGGTAGTCCAGTCCGCCCTCGCTGAAGATCTGGGACCCGGCCTTGAACCACACGGCCTCGCCGAACTTGACGCCGTTGCGGGCGAGCAGCTCCGGGAAGACGCAGCCCAGGGCGCCGAGCATGGCCCAGCGGGAGTGGATGACCTCCAGCTCCCGGTTCTTGGCGAAGGTCTCGGGGTCGGCGGAGAGGCCGGCGGTGTCCCAGCCGTAGTCCCCGGGGAATTCGCCGGTGAGGTAGGAGGGGGCCTCGCCGGAGAAGGGGCCCAGGTACTTGACGCGGTCGGGGCCGTACCAGGGGCTGCCGGAGGAGACGGGCTTGGGCTTGGCGGCGGTCTTCCTCATGGAGATCCTCCCCTCACCGAGGACCTCGGAGGCGGCGGGGGCGAGCTTGACCGCCTTCCCGGCGAGAGAAGGTGAGGAGAGGGCCATGGTGGCTGCCATTGTGATGGTGAAGACGGGTGGTGTAGCGAGAGCGAGGATGAGTTCTGGCGTTCGAGGTGAGGAGATAGCGGCCTGATTCGTCTGTTTAAGTAACGTTGGCGAGATGGGAGAAGAAGAGATGGGGTTCCGTCCGGTGATATCCCGTCAGCTCGTGTTATTGGCCTTGCCCGAAAGTTGTTTGATAGATTTGGTGGGAGGCATTCTGCCAGCCACGGGTTCAGATGCTCTCGCTCTGTGGGCCGTCGTGGCACATGTAGGCACAGTCCGCACCACACGCTAGGATTCTTCCGTCTACGGAGCAAACAGGCTCACTTGGTGCACCATCAAGTTTGTTATTCCACAATGGCTATTAGATATCTCCGTGTTCTCATCTCTGGTTCCACGTACATCTTCTGGGTAACCACGTATGACAAAAGTAGCAAAGATCAAGAAGGAATATAAAATATTATCTCGACTAAAAATGACTGAAAACCAACTTGAGGATATGAGAAAAAATGTGATATAATAAGGAGAGCAACTTGATGCAAGGATCTAGTCAAGAAGACTATCAAGACCCTACAAATGCCCTACTGAAATATGCCTCTACAAAGTCCAGAAATTTTTGTAGATTAGATGCCTCACAGCCCATAAGAAGATATATCATACGCAGTTATCTCCAGTCTGCAATCAATCTTCTATTTGTTGTATAATCCACCTCGGATATAACCTACAACCTGCTACTATAGTGTGCAGGTCACTGCTTCTATTTGTCCCGACAGAAGAGGCCACACTCTGTTTTTGGGCTTGTTGTAAGTCCATAATTATTGAGATATTAAGCAATAACTCAACAATGTAGATGCGTGTGCTTGCACATGTTGGTGGCCAGAGCTATATGCTCATTGGTGTGTGCACTCGAGCGTGGGCGTGAGGTGTACTCGTGTTGGGGTGTGTGGGCGCCTTGCCCGAGTGGTAAAATTTAGTGTGCATGCATGCTCTGTGTGACACATCTGCATCATCCGCGGAAAATAGTCTTATAAAATAAACATTTTCATTTCTCCTCCTAACTCGAAGGCACAATTTGATGGCTTCCTCTTGCTAGAGCTAGCATATTATCATCCTACCCATTGATATTCCGTACGGATAGGACTTCGATGAAGTCTAACGATTCTTTTAATTTAAATGAATAAAGAAATACGGAATAATGATGTACATGGGCCAGATCGACCAGGCCTCAACAACCCTGGCATGATCCCGATATCGATTTCCTGCCACCAGTCCACTCTACGTGTGAACATAGACGTCATGGTGGCTGCCATTGTGATGGTCAAGGGGACCTTCGGAGCAACTGTGGGAAGAAATTGTTGTGCTCGAGTTGAGGAGGCTGGTCGCATCACTAGGGGTGTCACGGCAGGGTTCCGACGTCTTTGGCTGAAAACGATGAGATCCTGTCTGGCGATATCTACGTCCGACTTGCATTTGATCGCTCCCATACTGATGGATGGTTCCACTTGGAGGGAGTGCTGTGGCAGACGAATCCGTCACATTCACCACGAGTTCTGATGTCCTCTGTAACGTGGCAGATTGGCGCACTTCCTCCACGGATTTTACAGGTTCCCTGTTGGCTTCCCTCTTTCAACGTGCGTGTGTGTCTCTCTATTTGTTATCTTTCAAGCCACACTTGATTTTGTGGACTGGGAGGGTTAAATCTATCGGGTTGACTTTAGATTTTCTCATGGGCTGCTAAATCAGGTTGAATGAGCAATGTAGGCTTGGCCCAACTTTAGGTATATCCTTCCAATTCCCTTGACACACCAATTTTCCACTGGATACCTTGTCACGTCTAACATCCAACCACACTCTCACATTCGACAGTCACTTTTTCCCCAACACGTTATGAAAAAGATTACCCATTATCAATCCAATCCATTATTGTAATCAATGTGAATAGATGATGAAGACAACGTATGATGCAGGCAGTTCCATTATGTCCAACTCAACATCATCAATGATGTTAAAATATTGGATCACACTAATATTGAGTATGGTTTTCTGATATTCTAGTTTTATCCTTTTGAAAATGGGGAACCATGAAAGTAGTTTCATATGGATTGGTTATTTCGATCTTATATTGAATGTATGAAATGGAAACATATAATTTTTTTAATGATTAATGTAAGAATAGTGGGTTATATTTAGGTCAAGGTACCATAAATGAATTATTTTAATACCAAAAAGATATAAATATGTTTCAAGAAAAACATGAAGTACCATGAAAATTTTTACACGATGTTTAGTTATGGACATTGCTAGAAAAATAGGGTAAGTTTCATAAGGTTCAATAATTGAAGCATAAATGTCGATGAATGTATAAAATTGGAAAACATTTTACTCAAGGGTTGAGATCCATGGAAAATAAGTTTGCAGTTGAAATGCAAGCATTGACCCTTTAATTAGTGCCAACATGTAAGATATAAGATTGAGAGTACAATGTTACTTGAATGGCAAGGTGTCAACATCAATCATTAGATACAAATGTTCACACTTTGAATGTTTACACTTAATGTTCACACTCTCAATGGCTTTCATAAAAAATGAGTAATTAGAAAAAAAATGAATAACTAGACATTTTTATTACAATCAGTCTGAGGCTAAGTTATAAAAGACCCTTGATATTGAAGCCCCCTTAAAAATCCAACAAAGTATTTAAATTATCTCACCAACATCCAACTAGCCCTCCAAGGTTTTACCTACATTTTTAGTTTCATTGAACGTCTCATAAATTGATCTATTTTTTTATTAATTATTTGTAAAAGGTTATCACTTAACAAAGCTTGACGTTCTAAAAATGTTTGGTAAGAACCTTAGGAAGCGGATGTGTAAAGAATTTCAGGTTAAGCCAATTGGACAGCTTGAAGAACTAAGTACGTCAAGCTGTAGTCTAAATGACTATTTTTTTTGGTATCCTTATCCTCAATTATGTTTAGAAGATATTATATTTTCATACCAATTTCCTATAAGTTATCCAGTTCACCTCCTAATATAAATCTTACTCGTCAACTAAGATCTTCATAATATGCATCTGTAATACATATTCAATAAAAACAACTACAAAAAAATGTCTTCTTTTATAAATTACCAGAAAAGGTCACTAATGAAAATGATAAATATATCAATACGACCTCTAATATTTTATTATCACTAGCCCTTTAAGTATGGCACCCATTTTCACCCTAGAAACAATGTTTAAAGAAAAATGAATTCCCTTACCCCCCCCCCCCCCCTCCCAACCCCCCAATTTCTCTCCTTCAAATTAGTTAAGAAATATTATTTAATAGTTAAAGAGCACATCTCATTTGTGGAAGAGTTTTCACTGTATGCACAAAAAGCTGTTTTACACAAGGCATGTGGCATTTAACAATCAAATAAATAGATTGTGAAGCCAAAACAATCATAATAGACCGTGAATTAAAATCTATTGAGATCTATCTAGAATTTAATTAAACGAAGAGTACCAAAGTTGTGTTTCTACTTTCAAATATGTAAGTATTGTAAAGTATGTCCTATTTGTGTGATGCTAAGCGAAAATATAATATGTGACGCTAAAGTAGACGATCATTGACTTTGATGCAATAATATACTTTTTGGATATACAACTCAAAACAAAAGGGGAAAATAAAATCGAGTAGCCTCTTCTTTAAAACTTAGTATATTCATTTTTCTTTAATGTAAAGTTGTTCTCACTCAAGACCCACAATACCAAAGGGTTCGGGCTTCCGATGACTGTGACCCCACCATTACTCATCTCGACATTGGATTCCTATAAAACTGATACCCCCACATTCTGTATATGAGATGCGCAACCGTAAAGTTTTACAATCTGTCCAAGTAATTTTTTTCATGCTGTTCTGCGTATATCTCGTCATAATAATGCTACTTATCAGTTGAGATAAAGTGATGGATTGCTAGAAGAAAACATAAGTTGACAGTAAAATATAACTAGTCAAAACAACTAGTTTACAATCCGGCGCTTGATCCCAAAGCCGACACACAGCCCCCCTCATGAACGATTAGCTCGGAGGGAGATCCGCCGAGGCAACAACGCTGAGTTCTGGCAAGCTTCATTTGCCGGGGACGAAGTTGGTGGCGTAGGCCCAGGCGTTGTTGTTGACTGGATCGGCGAGGTGGTCCGCCAGGTTCTCCAGCGGACCCTTCCCGGTGACGATGGCCTGCACGAAGAAACCGAACATGGAGAACATGGCCAGTCTCCCATTCTTCAACTCCTTCACCTTCAGCTCCGCGAAGGCCTCGGGATCGTCAGCCAGACCCAGCGGGTCGAAGCTGCCGCCGGGGTACAGCGGGTCTGTGACCTCGCCCAGTGGCCCGCCGGCGACGCGGTATCCCTCGACGGCGCCCATGAGGATGACCTGGGTGGCCCAGATGGCCAGGATGCTCTGGGCGTGCACCAGGCTGGGGTTACCCAGGTAGTCCAGGCCGCCCTCGCTGAAGATCTGGGACCCGGCCTTGAACCACACGGCCTCGCCGAACTTGACGCCGTTGCGGGCGAGCAGCTCCGGGAAGACGCAGCCCAGGGCGCCGAGCATGGCCCAGCGGGAGTGGATGACCTCTAGCTCACGGTTCTTGGCGAAGGTCTCGGGGTCGGCGGAGAGGCCGGCGGTGTCCCAGCCGTAATCGCCGGGGAACTCGCCGGTGAGGTAGGAGGGGGCCTCGCCGGAGAAGGGGCCCAGGTACTTGACGCGGTCGGGGCCGTACCAGGGGCTGCCGGAGGAGACGGGCTTCGGTTTGGCGGCGGTCTTCCTCATGGAGATCCTCCCCTCACCGAGGACCTCGGAGGTGGCGGGGGCGAGCTTGACCGCCTTCCCGGCGAGAGAAGGTGAGGAGAGGGCCATGGTGGCTGCCATTGTGATGGTGAAGGCGAGTAGTGTAGCGAGAGCGAGGATGAGTTCTGGCGTTCGAGGTGAGGAAACAGCGCGCCGATCCTTTTGGTTAAATACTGCCAGAGAGCCGAGACTTGCCAATGGATTCTATCCCGTTATCTATTTGGATCGCGCCATCATTTCCTCCCGTCATCTGTTCGACGGATTTCCTTACAATGGCGGACGCCAGCGCCACTCACATTCAGATCCTCTCGTTGCCTCGTAGTTAGATACTTCCACCTTCGTGGCAGATGGGCGCATCATATGCACCACAAGTTTAGATACTTCCATCCACGTGGCAGATACGAGTCCTTGTTCCATTTTTTATCCTTCTTTCCCTTGACACGCGCGTCTCCTATTGCCCGCCGCTCCACGATTTCGTCGAAATAAGGCCTTACGAAAAATCAGAATATCGGTTATCACTTTCTACCACTTTCTATAACAATTTCAAAAGATCAAAAAATTAGAAACTAGGGAACACATTAAGATAAATATACAAGAATTATGATTTTTGAAATATGAGGTACTTTGGTTATCCTAAACTTCAAAAAAACTCAAATTTCCATGTTGTCACATAACTATCCACTTTAATTTTCTTAGCTATATTTTTCCACTACCAATTACACGAATTAAAGTCATCGAAATGTTGGAGAATAGGGGACCCTCCAAGACAATGTCCTTCACAATCACAATCCCACGTCAAAGGCTGAACCATTTAATTAAATTCGATTATGTGGTTACAAACAAATGAGTAGATGGGCACATCTATTTATGTGCCAAAAATAAAATCTCTATCAATGTATGATGCGTGAGTGGTGCGTTAGTCCCACACAAGAGTGCCGGCCAAGTGAATTTTATATGACCACTACCAATTACACTAATCAAATTCATCGAAATGTTCAAGAATGGGACGGGCCCTCCAAGATATTCATCCCATCACAATATTACAGCGAAGAGTGATCCATTTAATTAAGTTAGATTAAGTGGTGACAAATAAATACATAGCTGGGAAAAAAATGTCCGCATCTATGAATGTATGATGCAGGTGTAGTGATTCAGTCTTATACGAGAGTGCCAACATTGTCAACTAACCAAAAAAGGAGATGTAGCTTGTGTCGCCACTTTCATCCTGCGAATTTGAAAGTGCCACTAGCACCTTCACCTCCATCTTTGACTTAATTAATCTACGGTGAAATATTACGTTTAGAAAGTTCTTTATATTCTCATGAACTAATTGTCTAATACCAAGAAACAAATAATTTCTGCAACATCTCTCTCTCCCTCCACTCTCAAAAAGATAAAGTTGACATCGGAGGTAATTGCATCAAAGCCAACGCCTACCATTAAATATAATAATCATGCTCTGACGGGAGCTCAGCGTTTCCTAACATGGTTGGTTGAACGTTACTACTCTTAATGCTATTATGCTCATATCTCCGAAGAATAATAATAATTATAATCATTTGGGACGAGGGGATGAAAGGCCGGAAGAATTCGACATAAATTGACAGTAAAATATAACTAGTCAAAACAAATAGTTTACAATCCCAAAGCCGACACACTCCCTCCCTCATGAACGATTAGCTCGGAGGGAGATCCGCCGAGGCAACGACGCGCAGATCCGGCAAGCTTCATTTGCCAGGGACGAAGTTGGTGGCGTAGGCCCAGGCGTTGTTGTTGACGGGATCGGCGAGGTGGTCCGCCAGGTTCTCCAGCGGACCCTTCCCGGTGACGATGGCCTGAACGAAGAAACCGAACATGGAGAACATGGCCAGTCTCCCATTCTTCAGCTCCTTCACCTTCAGCTCCGCGAAGGCCTCGGGATCGTCAGCCAGACCCAGCGGGTCGAAGCTGCCGCCGGGGTACAGCGGGTCTGTGACCTCGCCCAGTGGCCCGCCGGCGACGCGGTATCCCTCGACGGCGCCCATGAGAATGACCTGGGTGGCCCAGATGGCCAGGATGCTCTGGGCGTGCACCAGGCTGGGGTTACCCAGGTAGTCCAGGCCGCCCTCGCTGAAGATCTGGGACCCGGCCTTGAACCACACGGCCTCGCCGAACTTGACGCCGTTGCGGGCGAGCAGCTCCGGGAAGACGCAGCCCAGGGCGCCGAGCATGGCCCAGCGGGAGTGGATGACCTCTAGTTCCCGGTTCTTGGCGAAGGTCTCGGGGTCGGCGGAGAGGCCGGCGGTGTCCCAGCCGTAGTCGCCGGGGAACTCGCCGGTGAGGTAGGAGGGGGCCTCGCCGGAGAAGGGGCCCAGGTACTTGACGCGGTCGGGGCCGTACCAGGGGCTGCCGGAGGAGGCGGGCTTGGGCTTGGCGGCGGTCTTCCTCATGGAGATCCTCCCCTCACCGAGGACCTCGGAGGCGGCGGGGGCGAGCTTGACCGCCTTCCCGGCGAGAGAAGGGGAAGAGAGGGCCATGGTGGCTGCCATTGTGATGGTGAAGACGGGTGGTGTAGCGAGAGCGAGGATGAGTTCTGGCGTTCGAGGTGAGGAGATAGCGGCCTGATTCGTCTGTTTAAGTAACGTTGGCGAGATGGGAGAAGAAGAGATGGGGTTCCGTCCGGTGATATCCCGTCAGCTCGTGTTATTGGCCTTGCCCGAAAGTTGTTTGATAGATTTGGTGGGAGGCATTCTGCCAGCCACGGGTTCAGATGCTCTCGCTCTGTGGGCCGTCGTGGCACATGTAGGCACGGTCCGCACCACACGCTAGGATTCTTTCGTCTACGGAGCAAACAGGCTCACTTGGTGCACCATCACGTTTGTTATTCCACGGCACCTATTAGAGATCTCCCCCGTCCCCAGCGTCTCTTTCTGCCTACATCTTCTCGGTACTTACTACCTTCGTATAGATGCGGGTGTTTGCACGAGCGAGTTGGTGTGGGATGTATGTGCAGTTGTGGGAGACCAGAGCTATGCGCTCCTCGGTGTGTGCACGCTTGCGTGGTCGAGAGGTGTGCTCGTGTGGGGTTGTGTGCGCGTATGCACGCGTTACGCTAGTAGTAAAATTTCGACTACGTGTTTGCTCGCTGTATGACACATTTACGCGGAAAATAGTCTAATAGAATAAATATTTTCATTTCTTCTCCTAACCTCTAATCTGAATTTGATTGCTTCTCTTGCTTGAATTAGCCTATTATCACCCTACGCATTGACATTCCCTGCGACAAGGGCTTGGATGAAGTACAACTTTTTTTATTTAAATATTTTAAATAAATACGGAGTAATAATCTACGCGGGCCAGAAATACCAAGTCTGGCGTGATCCCGACATTGATTATGCCACAATTCCACCCTACGCGTGAACATAGAGCTCCAACCGCCACGTCTCAAGACCCCAAATATTTCTTGAGGAGCTTGTCTCATTTATTTTAAGAATCTTGTATCCTTGCCAAATTTATTTTGTTACACTTTGGACTGGTCCTACGATACAATCTGCCCAAGTATAATATGTTTTGAAAGATTATTAATGACAATAAGATCCCTAATGGTTGTTATTGTTATATGAGCAACAACTTAAGTGTCACCTAAATTAACATGGTCATCTAAAAATTTAATGACAACCTTTCTAACCACTAACAAAATTGTATAGGAAAAATGTTTCCTTTCATGGAAATCTCAACAAAAGTACTATTTGCTGAGCCCAATCATCATTGAATCTGGAGAAACGTCAGTGAACATTTTCAGTTTCTAGGAAGTCTCCATAGTGTTATTCCATGAAAAAGTATATCATTGTTTAAGCAAGGTACATTTGCCAAAAAGTGCCAATGTCTAAATATACATGTCATCTCACAAAATATTATACAATAATGTTATCCATAAACGTTTTCATTGAGTAAACTTTTACATCAGATCTCAAGGAATCATCATCGCTTATGTTTTCTTTGCGATTAGCATTCACCTCTTTGTAGGAAAGCCAACTCTAATTTGGGATAGAAACATACCTCACCCTTGGATTATTTCAGAACCACTATGCTTCTCCATTATTTTAATGCCCATATCCTTTAGTTATACTAATTTAGATTCTTAATATTTAGGACTTTGAGACACCTTAGTTGCACCCAACAGTAACTCTTGATGGGTGGATATAGTCTGGCCTAAATACAAAACAATCTAAAATCTACTATTACCATAACACTTTTACACTCATTAGTGCATAAATAAAATACTACCGTTATTGATTTAGAGCTTGAGTCCTTAAAATATAATGAGTTAAATAACTACTCATGAAAATAATGTGAAAATGGTGCATATGTGTCGAGAAAAGGGTGCTGACCTTACTATTGTTGTATGAGTTTAAATTCCCATACTGTAAATGTAAGAATGCTCAAAAGTGGTCACCCACACTCATTCTAACATGTATTTCTCACTATTTTAGTACTTTGTTATTTTCTTATTTCTAATCTATTGTTGCACCTACAATATTAATGAATTAACTCATAAAGTAAAATTCACCCATTTTCTAAAAAAATAGAAGGGTTATGCATCAATTCAATAATGAGTCGTTTGTTTGTACAAACTTTTCTAAATTTCATGTTCATAAAACAAAATTTGAAAATATAAGTAATTATTTTACGCTTTCATTGCTTTTGCCAATATCATAACAAGATAGGTTCTAAAAGCTAACAACCACTTCTAAGGGAAATTAACTATCCTCTTGAACCTCTAGTATATGATGCTTGACACACGAAAAACCAAGGACCCATAACCCATGACAAGCAATGAGATTTACAATTGGTCCTCTTCCTTCACTTGGAAACTAAGAATGCTTTATGTGAACTACCTGAGCATAGAAGACTCTAGTGAGAAGGTGGTAGTTGATGACCGTCCTATTTCTTTATCCACATAGGGTACTATTCCACTACGAGAAGCACGTGAACTCTATGATAGTGGGCTAATGACTAATGAGAAGGCTTCACTATATTAATGTATTTTTCCTTCCCTTTCCTTTGTTTGCTTTTCTCTTCTTTTAAATGTTAGCTAAGTGTTATTTCTGCTGATTTTTAGAGAAGACCTTTTCTAAGATTTTAATGTCTATTCTAATGTACACATGTCAAGTGAGACATACTGATGTTTAGAATAGTTTGGTAAGATGCAAAACCCACTTCACTAGTTAAACCTCTCATTGGATATGTAGACTATCTTCCTTGAGGTACCAATCAAAACATTAAAAGAAATTTGTGATCTCAATTACCAAATAAATGTCCAAGGCTTTCTCCATAACCAGACTGCACAAAACGCAGTATGAAATTTAAATGAAGCAAAAAGTCTGCCCCTGAAGAATGTTTGGAGCGTTGGAATGCACGACTCAATCTAATTCAGGGCTTGGATCATTGTGACAACTTGATCACAAAAGCTTCTACATTCTTTAGTCTTGATTGATCTCAATTGTACTTGAAGGAAGGCAAAATTATGTAATATGTAATTAGTATACACTGACGTGAATTAAGTCTTTAAGCTAAATATCATGAAATCACCACCACTAACTTTTCCTTTTATTTAATCTTATCATATAGATCTATCTTCCTTGTTTTTGTTGAAGTCACCGGGTTTCTTTCAATAATAAGCTTCTGAATTAAAATGTTAGCAATTTCTTTGTAGCAAAATAAATCAAGCAACCACTAACACCTCTCATTCCATCACTTTAGCGTCCATATGATCACACACTGAATTAAGGTGTCACCAATATTTCTTTTTAGGTGATGCACAAGCAAAGTCTCATTTTTTTTCCTTTGATGTCTCTCCTACACTATTTATGTTCCCGACATATTTTTCAATTCGTTATGATTTATATTCTGTTCGTAAATTTATAAATCGTTAGACGCATCCGTGAGTAAATTTATATAAAAAAGTACGACATCATATGAACTAAAATTTAGTCAAAATTATGTATCATAAGTTCTATCATGGACGTGTTATAAGTTATTGTATAATGAGTGTTTAATCCACTGAAATTATTGGTACGAAATAAATATGAGGAAGCATGTCAAATCGTCACAAGAATAGATGTCAATCACAAAATCAGAGCATCCCACCTTCATTGCTTCTATTGGTAATGGAAAAAGAATGGAAAACTATGTACCGGCAATACAACAGAGCTATTGTTGTGTTCATATGAATGCTTAAGGACCCAGAAACGACATCCCATTGGCAGAGTAGGCAGGCTAACAAACGTGAGCCCCTTACACACTTGATGGAAATCCGTGGTCATGCTTCATTTGACCCAATATGACACAAAATCAATGGGAACCTATAGCTAATAGTACTGTATGATTTGATAGGGCCACCATAGGCATTCCATCTATAAGCGAGTTTCGGGGCACGCACATTTCCCTTAAGGCTAGTCATCCACGTTCGCCTGAGTTCTTCACAAGGCCACAGTCCCCCATATACGCCATAACTGGACCGTGGCGCGATTCAGAGAGAACTTGGGCAAAAGAGACGACTTAGGGGATGGAGTGGGGGGATAAAGTAAAGAAGACTTGTAGCAAAAAAATATACAGGAACATTTCTGATAGATAGTTTACAACCATGAACGACCACAAAAACCCACCCTGTCATCTACCCCAGGCAGAAACCTCGAGAGCTGACCTCCATTTCAGGGGCTCATCGGGCTCACTTGCCGGGGACGAAGTTGGTGGCGTAGGCCCAGGCGTTGTTGTTGACGGGATCGGCGAGGTGGTCCGCCAGGTTTTCCAGCGGACCCTTCCCGGTGACGATGGCCTGAACGAAGAAGCCGAACATGGAAAACATGGCCAGCCGTCCGTTCTTGATCTCCTTCACCTTCAGCTCCGCGAAGGCCTCGGGATCGTCGGCCAGACCCAGCGGGTCGAAGCTGCCGCCGGGATACAGCGGGTCGGTGATCTCACCCAGTGGTCCGCCGGCGACGCGGTAGCCCTCGACGGCGCCCATGAGGATGACCTGTGTGGCCCAGATGGCCAGGATGCTCTGGGCGTGCACCAGGCCGGGGTTGCCCAGGTAGTCCAGGCCGCCCTCGCTGAAGATCTGGGACCCGGCCTTGAACCACACGGCCTCGCCGAACTTGACGCCGTTGCGGGCGAGCAGCTCCGGGAAGACGCAGCCCAGGGCGCCGAGCATGGCCCAGCGGGAGTGGATGACCTCCAGCTCCCGGTTCTTGGCGAAGGTCTCGGGGTCGGCGGAGAGGCCGGCGGTGTCCCAGCCGTAGTCGCCGGGGAACTCGCCGGTGAGGTAGGAGGGGGCCTCGCCGGAGAAGGGGCCCAGGTACTTGACGCGGTCGGGGCCGTACCAGGGGCTGCCGGAGGAGACGGGCTTGGGCTTGGCAGCGGCCTTCCTCATGGAGATCCTCCCCTCTCCGAGGACCTCGGAGGCGGCGGGGGCGAGCTTGACCGCCTTCCCGGCGAGAGAAGGTGAGGAGAGGGCCATGGTGGCTGCCATTGTGATGGTGAAGGCGAGTAGTGTAGCGAGAGCGAGGATGAGTTCTGGCGTTCGAGATGAGGAGATAGCGGCTTGATGCGTCTGTTTAAGTAACGTTGGCGAGATGGGAGAAGAAGAGATGGGGTTCCGTCCGGTGATATCCCGTCAGCTCGTATCATTGGTCTTGCCCGAAAGTTGTTTGATAGATTTGGTGGGAGGCATGCTGCCAGCCACGATTTCAGATGCTCTCGCTCAGTGGGCCGGTGTTGCACTTGGAGGCATTGTCGCACCACACGCCAGGATTCTTCTGTCTACGTGGCAAACGGGCTCGCTTGGCGGCTATTACATATCTTCGTGTATGATATAAAACCAGCCAATCTCAAAAGTAATAGAAAATATTATTGTAATTAAATATGGCTGAAAACCAGCTTTGACGATATAAGGGAAATTGTGATGTAATAGAATGAGAGTAATTTGCTGTAAGGATCTGGCCAATAAGACTGTCAAGATTTAACAAATGCCTTAAATATACCTCAAACCAGAAATATTTGTGGATTGTAGATGCCTCACATCCCGTAAAAAGATACCTCGTATGCAACTATCTCCAGTCGGTAATCAACCTTCTATCTGATATATAATCCACCTCGAATATAACCTATATCTTGTTTTTTAGTTTCCAAGAACAACCATTGTGCTCCCACATTTCCCTCTTGTTTCCGCCGCAAACAGGCTCTACTACAATGTTCTCGTTGCTGTCTTATTCCCACCAAGAACCTGAAATAATCAAGTGGGACATCAAATAGGAGGGAGAGAATGAGAATAAGTTTTTGGACAGAAAGTGTGCGTAGGAGAGAAAGAACCCTGGATCGCAAGGGCTTTTTCATGCCTAGCTGTGTTAACTAAAAATAAAATTCGAACAGATTTTTTACTCTCCCCACACAGGAGAGAGTTGCATATTTACCCTTTTATTTGAGCCGAAAGTTTGTCCGAACAGAAGAGGCTACACTACTTTATTTTTGGAAATATTCTAAGCCTAGAGTAGTTGAAATATTAAGTTACGTCTCCACAATATTTATATTGGTGAATATCTTAGCTAACCTTCTATTGATGACGTTGGTTTTGTTACATGTGAAAATTTATTTATTGAATATTGAGTCATTATATATTTCATGCATTTATATCATATATGCAATATGATAAATGTGAAATCATATGAGTTATATTTATTGATTTCGTAATCATGTAACTAACAATAGAAACTGAGGTGTTAATATTTAAGATATAAAGATTCTTTGCAATAGAAATATCTGATAGTTAATCAATATATATCAAGGAATCACCATTTGATAAAAGGATGTATACATGGTTCAATCAGTATAGTTACATCGTGATCATGATATAACAAATCCTGAAATGCAATGCAACATATAGTATCCTAAATGAACTTCAACAGTTTCCTACACACTCATGTGGATGAGTTGTTAAAAGAGTTCAAAAGATACTTGGCCCAAATAAGTCTCGAACTTAACATTTATATGGTGACACATTATCAGCTTACATGGATGAAAACTCAGCATGAACATCATTGTTTGCTCAATAATGAAAAGAAATGTTATTCAGCATCAAGTAAGGAAGGTCCAATATAAATTTCATATCAAGCAAACAAGAAAATAAGAACTTTTGAAATGTGCAAGGATCAAAGGTTGTTACTACACATTCTACAAAAGGGTAAGTTTTTGAACAAGTTTCCTAAACATTTGGGACCCTGTCAAATAGAAAAAATTATTAAAGGACGACTGCTAATATATAAGAAGAGACTTGAAAAGCAGAAGTAAGATCTTTATGTGAATATCCAAGTGAGAATTTCAAACTCTTCCTATTAGATACATCAATGACGAACAAAAAGCTACATCCTAATCTACGTTAGACTTCAGCAACTTGAACAACATCTGATTCAAAGGAGAATGTTTTCCATCAGGCCTTAAGATAATTGAGTGGTGAGGAAAGAGGTTGTTAAGTGAAGGGATGAGGTGTTGGTAGCTTATTTTTGCCCTAAAAAGGTAGAGTCACTGTGGAGATGAACTTGAGTAGTTGAGTGACTGACCTCATGAATGTTAGCATGTATTTCCTGTGTAGAATAGAGAAATATCAATAGGAGAACTCCTCTAGGACTAGACATAGCTGGGAGAGGGATGAACTAGTATAAAACTATTGGTGTCTCTAATGAGAGGGGGTTACACACACACATGTCAACACATCTAGCAGTCCCATATAGATAATTAACTAGAAATAAAAATAACTGAAAACATTACAAACCCAATTCACCCTCCCTTCTTGGAGTTTCATCTAGCCCTATAGTTCCAACACCTAAGAATGAATGATAACGTCAAACACTAGATCAGTTCTCAAGGAAAATATTCATATGGCCTTTACTTCACAAATTGAACCTAAGAATATAACTAATACACTTATGGATGTTGATTGGATGGATGTTATGTATGATAAATTAGAAAAAATTGATATGAATGATGTTTGGTGCTTAGTTCCAAGACTTGATCATCAAAATGTAATTATAAAAAAATGGGTATTTAAAAATAAAGTAAATAAACAAGGTACAGTAAGAAATAAAGTAAGATTTGTTGCAGAAAGTTATGTTTAAGAAAAAGGAATAGTTATTAGGAAACTTATGCACTAGTAGCTAAACTTGGTGCTATTATAATTTTTGTTCCATTTTCTTTTGCTAATAATTTTAAATAATATCAAATAGATATTTAGAGTGCTTTTATTAATGAATTGATTAAGGAATAAGTTTCTGTATAATAGCTCCTTGGTTTAGAAAATTTATATTATTTTAATCATGTGTATAGACTTAAGAAAGCTCTATTTTGATTAAAGTAAGCTCCAAGAGCTTAGTATAAAAGTTGAGTTGATTTCTACTAGAAAATAATTTCCAAAGAAGAAATGTGGATACAAATTTATTTATGAGAAAAAAAATTGATTGTGCAAATATATGTTAATAACATTATATTTGAAGCAACAAATGAAGTATCATACAATGAATTCTCCTCATTAATGAAAAATAATTCAAAATGAGTATGATAGGAGAATTAAATTTCATTTGACAATTAGATAATAGAATTATCATTTCTCAAGAGAAATATAAAAAATAATTACTTGGAGAATACAAAATGAAAGATTTGAAGTCTAAGAGAATGCCTATGAGTATCAGTTCTAAATTGGACTCAGATGAAAAAGAAAAAGAAGTAAATAGAAAGAATTTTAGAGGAATGATTAGATATTTATTATATTTAACTAGTAATAGGTTTGATATTTTATTTAATGTATACTTGTGTACAAGATATTAAAGTAATTTTTAAGAATCACACCTTATGATAGTGATTTGGGTTTTTAGATATTTAATTAGAATAAAAACCTTAGGTGTACAATATCCCAAAAACCAAAATGTAAATCCTTAAGATATTATGATTCAGATTTTTCAGTATGTAGACAATTAGAAAAGTATTAGTAGATCATGTCTATTTCAAGGCTAATGCTTCATTTCTTGGAATTCAAAGAAACAAAATTCTACTACATTATTTACAGCTGAAGTTGAATATATATTAGTCGATAGTTGTTGTGCACATATAATTTGGCTAATATATCAACTAAAAACTTATAATTAAAGTTATAAAGAGTACACTGAAATTAGACATCATTTTATCAAGGATCATATACAAAACATAGATAACAAACCAGACTTTATTGAAGTATCAAAATAATTAGTTGATCTATTTACAAAACCCTTCTCTAAGGAAAGATTTAATTCAACTATTTTTGAACTTGGTATGTGGAGATTGAGTAATATTTTAATCTTAGTTCTTATTTAAAAAATAAAATAATGATTATGTCATGATTTATTTTCATGTGTTTACATATCATCATTATCTTTCCTATTTTTTGCTAATATGTACATGTTTGTGTCAATACATGATATAATGAGATTTTTGGATTTCATTGTATGACTAAAGTAAAGTGAGGAACATGTTTTTATGTTTTCACATACCTTCAAAAGATTGAATATTATCGCTTTACCCCTCCCTTTCTCCATAAAAAGTTGAAGCTTTGCTTTTTCAAATCATTTTAAATTGTTTCTTCTCTCTCCTCTCTCCCACTTTAAAAAATTCCTTCTTTCCTCTTGATCAAGAATCCCCCAAGAACTCTTCACAAGGGCTTGAACTCAAGCTTTGATAAGGCTCTTGCATTAGAATAAAGGTATTTCATTTTCTTGCATTGTGTCATACATTGTTAGATAGTAGATGGTCTACTCTTCCCATTCATCCTTCTAAAGCCTATAGACACCCCAACATGTTGATGAAAGACAAAAACAAAGAGGTTATCAATAACCTCTAATAGTTGAACTTTAAATGCAACATCTAGTATTTCTAAATGAACTTAAATAGTTTACAACAAACTCACATAGATAAGTTATTGTTGACATGAGAAAGAAAAACTTTGGAATTCATATAGTCTCAAAAAATAAAATACATGACTTCTATATTAGATAGAGTAGAGATGAAAGAGAGTGAGAGAGAGAGATAATAGGCCCTAATGGACTAGAGTCTAATATCACTATCAAACATTGTCCCTCAATTTAGAACATATAAGTCAAATATGTTCAACTTGGTAAATGTGATGTCGTAAGAGATGTCAACTAGACTCTTTGTGAAGACATCGCAAGCTGATGAAATGATGCCATATGAAAAATAGAGATAAATCTAGACATAATCTTATCTCGAATGTAGTGATAGTCGATCTCAATATACTTCATATGCTCATAAAAGGTAAGATTACTAGCAATAAAGATGATGGCTTGATTTTCACAATGTATGGGTATTAGAGAGGAAGAAATAATGTTGAGATCGTCAAGAAGTGACTAAAGCCATATCATTTCCTATGTTGTCTCAATCATGACTCGATAATCAGATTCTATACTAGAGTAGGACATCACCCTTTATTTTCAAGATCGCCAGGTGACTAGGTTACTGTCAACATATGTGCAATAACCAATAGTAGACTTTTGATCACCCTTATCACCTA